CATCCCCTAATGACGGTTGGGGTTAGGTGTCACGCCTCTTTAAAAATCGGACATTTTCGTAAGACTAACCTAACCTCTAAACTGACAAAACGTAAAATACTTACATTTCCTTGTGAGACCAGGCTGGCTATTCACATATCACATCCAAAACCATTCTGAAAATGCGACACAAGGAGTTCCTGAACTCACGATTCTCTGCTGTTTGTCATTACAACAACCACCAGCAGTTGTTCAACACATACATAGCGTGGTCAATTTTCAGAATACCTGTTGTTCAACTTTTGCCCATGTGTGAATCAATACTGAATGTGTGTCGTTGCTATTACCTGGGATTAGGGTTAAGATTGCTCTGAACCCTGGCTACTTCATAACGTGGTTGGGTGTTTCTCTTTGTATCGCGCTGAACAGTCGACCAGTCACAACAAAATGGGTTATCATTGGACCAATCAGCGCAGATAAGCCTCACAAAAAGTATGGGTTCGAGAACAAATGAATCACAAAACAAATCATATGGGAGTCGTTAGGATAATCAGGTAAAAATAAATGTAAATTATTCGACAACAAAAGTGTTATTTGACCTTGCATGATTATCAACCTGTTGTTGGAGACCCCCAAAACCAAAATACAACTTTTTATAGTGCATAACAGGGGCTCTTTAAAATAGTATTTTGGTGCAGTATCTCTATCTCCATCTCTCTCTTTATTTGTTTTGTTTTTTCATTGTGGCGTATCGGGTGAATTCGTTCAACTCACTGGACTGTTAACTAAGCGTTTAATCATTAATTCTTCAAATCATTAAAGTATAACACCAACCTGATGCAAAGAGGATCTCACATTAGGTGTTGAAAAGCTAGATGATTAAAGTAGATCATTATAAACCACACCAGTCACAATATGTATAAATAATGAGCAGTTCACTTGAAACCGTCATTAAATGTGATTAATGCAGTTCATGGAAGGTGTTGACAGATTTTACGAAAAGTGCAGCTTTCAGCCACATCACACTCACCTTACCCATGACGCCTGTAGCACTGATATACTGAGGTCACTGCTGACATCTACTGGACTGCTGCTGTAATACATGCAGTGTTTGCTGATGAGAGATGTGCTATGAAAAGTCCAAGTCCTTTGTTGAAAAATAGCACATTTATTTTCATAGAAAATGTATTTTTTACACAATTCTACACATGCACAGCCACACAATAGTCCATATATCAGTGAATACAGACCGACAGGTTCTTTTTTTCTCTTTAATTCACAGAGCGAGCACAAAACTGCAGACTTGAGAGCATCTTTTCTTGAAGACAGCATGGAGAACACTTACACTGTTGAATAGTAAATCTTAAAGCACTAAAAAAGTCTGAAAATCTGTAAATAAAGTATAAACATTTATAAATTATCTACAAATGGAGTACAAAAGATCAACCGAGAGATGAACACTTACAACATTCAGCCACAAACAACACTCGGGATTCATGATCATAGTAGAGAGATTTCTGTTAAATCAAAATATATGTCATCTCTTAGATTTTCTTTTTCTTTTGGCAAAATGATGCTGCAAGCTATACATACAGCTCAACATTTCATACATTCCTTTTTGGATACCCAACCATTTTATTATTATTATTATTATTAATATTATAACTTGTGTTTTCTTCTACAAGAATTAAACTTCATTCACCCTAAATAAATGGCATATTTTTAAATGAAAATGCCTAAATAGTATACTTTTAATATAATTTCTTTTGAAGATTTAAAAATTAACTTTTTTTTAAACACACAGTATTTACCCTGGATCAGACCATTCAAGAGTGCAATCTAAACCCACCCAACTGGCCATAATATTGTGTGATCAAAACAGATCACACCTTTCATTTTCCAGTTGCAGAGGCAAGATGTTACGCGGCAATGCTAGAGGTTTCATGTAAACTACTAGATTATAGCTTCAGATCACTGAGTCATCATAGGTAGTTTTGCCTGAGGGTGTTTTTCTGCCTTTGATAATATGTATGTAAAGTCCAACTTTCAATAAAGAGACTATCACAAGGAGTTTGTTTCTACTACAGCAAGCAAAAACCTCAGGAAAAACAGCCAATGATAACAGCAGCCAGACAGAACATGTCCTTCAGATGACGTTCTCATAACCAGCCTGACTCATTTGGCCTTTACGATAAAAAAATCACTTTATTACCACAGTTTTACCACAAATATCATTATTAAAGTAACTATGGATAGTTTGTGGTTCTACCATGGTTGAAAAGTTTCTATTTGTAGTAAAGCCGTGGTCAATTTTCATAAAGGATATTAAACTAGTTAAAGTGTTTACCCAAAATTGTGATCATCCATCCACATGGTTAATCAGCTATACTAATAGAGAAGACTCCAGATCCAGATCTGTTTTTACATTACTGTGATGGTTGAGTTTAGGGTTGGGATACGTGTAGACAATAATAAAATACAATTAATAAGAAATTTAGCAAATAATATATATAATTTTTCTTAACTTCCAGCCACAACCGTATGTGATCTATAGCTGATCAACCATGTGGATGGAGAATACCAGCCTTCTGAGCCTATTGGTGGGCACAGAAGGTCCCTGCTGGCCCATATCTATCAGCTGATAACCACTGATAACGCCCATTCAATCAAGTAATAACATTCGAAGGGTGTTTCAAACCTGTATGACTTTGTTTCTTAAACATATTGCATTACATACGTATGTTTTTTTCCATTTACAGGATGGTATTTACGGGGAAAAGAAAGATAAAACTTGAAACCACAAAAAAAAAAAAAAAAAAAAAAAAGACAAACAGTTTTAAAATGACCCGGGGATGAGTAAATAATGACATCCTTCTCATTTTAGGAATACAGGCCCTTCACACAGAACACGTTCTTGCAATTAATTGGAATGGCAAACAAAACAGCTTTTAAGACCCAATGTTCTTTTAAGCTGATGCTAAATTTAAAAAAAAATGCCAGAACAAACAGAACATTCCCCTAATATTCCAATATGGTTCCCATTTTTTGGGTACCAAATAAGAACAATTGGGTAATAACCCATGTGCATTCTTTTTAACTTATGTTCACAGAGTAATGCAGGGTCTTTTTTTGTGATAACTGAAAGAAAGTGTTAAATGTTCTGAGAACATTATATTAATGTTACGTTAAAAAGGAAGAGAACGTTCAGTGAACTAGAAACTAACATTCCCAGAATGATCAACATCATTGATCTAACCCAGCAGGCAGGCACTGGACGTCAACTTGACGTTGTACCACAACGCTGTGGGATGTTGCGTTTTGTTTGGAAATGAAAATCAGGCTGACGTCCGAACCCAACATCAGGCAGATGTTAATGTCTAACGTAAATTTCCGATGCAACCTAAAAACAAGAAACTCGACGCTAATGATGTTACAGATTGACGTTGTGTGGACGTTACCACTAAGATGTCTATCAGACGTTGGATTTTGGTTACTTCTCAACACAACCTAAAATCAACAAAATATCAACGTCTAATGATGTTACAGCTTGACGTTGTGTGGACGCTACCATTATGATGTCTATCAAATGGATTTTGGTTGCCATACCTGACAAATAAATGTCAGTATTTAACGTCAATATAACGTTGGTTTAAGATGTGACTCAAAGTTGAATTTTGGTCACTTTCCAACATAACCAATAAACAACAAAATATCAATGTTATTTGACATTGTTATTGGACATCAAAATAACATTGTCCTTAGATGCTGGCAACCTAAAACTAACCTAATATTGATGTCTTTTAACATTGTGTGTCTGCTGGGAACAAACAAATATTGTAAGCTGGGGAAGCACTCAATAGCGAATGCTGTAAAAATATATTATGTCCATCTTTTTCATTTTTACACAGGAAAATACTTAAAAATCATCAAAAAACGTGTTCTGGGTACACCGGTGGAATTTGAGGAGACACCAAGACACCCTCTTTGCTTAAATCTTTCTTTTCAAGAAGACCAAACCACCCTTATTGACTTCAGAAAGGAACAGGAAACAACTGGTAATTAGCAGCACGTCACAGTATCACAAAAGTTTTGAACAACATATGTCCCTTATCAGATTTAAGGGGTTGCACAAACATGGATGCAAAGGGGACACACGCTCGCACACATAAACACCCTCACATTCACCAAAACACGCACACACATACCGATTGTGCATTTGAAAGGCAAACACAGACACTTTCCAATGTATTTTTATAACTTGAAAATCATTCTTGTGATAATACAGGAAAATGAGTTCTCAGAGCAAGCAAAAGGGAGAGTACTTGGCAAAGACTGATGTATGAAGACATCAGATACAGCCCTTACGAAAATAACCATGGTTTATGCTCTTATACAGTAGTAAAGTGTAGAAGCCGTGGTTTTTGGCAGATTGATAACCATAGTTCTAATGCCATGGTTTCTGTAGTAAGCCATGGTTTATTTTCGTAAGAGAGGTAATTATACTGTACGTACTGAGTAAAGATGAAGGCCACAGCAATGTTTAAAAGGATTTGCTCATCCATTGTCCTGGTCAGTAATGTATTGTTGCACCTTGCCCATCTATCTAAAAATGCTTCTCAATGGAAATGTTATTTGATTGTGGTCCTTTTAGTGTGTCGGACTAATGCACTTGATGTGGTCTGGAGCTTGACAGCATTTGCTTCTGTTAGACTGACAATGTCAGGCCGTACTTTTGAAGTGGTTGTGATTACCAAGCGCTTTACCAAACTTTAAAATCAGTGAGATTAAACGGTTAGTTCAAAATCCAGCACTTTGATTTGAAATATGGAAATAAGAATGGAAGAAATTGCTTAAATATTAACAGCCTTTACATCACAGTATGAATAGATGCTTTCATTGTGGCGGGCAATTAACACTGATATGAGTGATCTCTTTATGTACTCTATGTCATTCCTTTTCATCTGGATTTTAGGTCTATTTTATAATGTGTACGTGGCATGTTAATGAGAAAGCCGTTTAGATTTTTTTTTTGTGAGGAAAAGACTTTTCTGAAGCATCAGGGACTTGCGATTTCCCTTTTGAGAGAAATTTGTATGCTGTTTTAGCCATATGAATTTGAAATCAAACTCATACTTTTACTTTGAGAACTTTTTGAGCAGTTTCTTCCCCTTAGAGAGCAGTCCTTTTTTCTTTTTAGATGCCAGGTCTCGTGGACCCCTGGCGGGGCTCAGCGGCCTGACTGGGCCAACAGGAAGCAACGGACGCACAGTGGGTGAGGCGGGTCTTCCTGGGGCCGGAGCTGGCACTGTTCTTTCCACAGGCACCTAATGAAACATCCATGGGGAAGGGAAAAGTGGGGGATATTACACAGCAAGCCTATCTTTGGCCTTATCATCTGCCTCCTTTTAACTTTTAAATTGCCTCAGACTAGACTGACTGAATTATAATACTGCTCACAGACTGGAATTCTATTGAGAAAAGGCAGATGATATGGCTGAACTGAACTGAATTAACTGATTCATTGGCCTGCTAATCAAAATAGGAAATGTATAAATGTCCATTAATTAATTTGTATTGTTATACAACATCAAAATACACAGACCTTACAGCACAAGGACTGAACAGCACACAAACCAACTGCAGATACCATACAAGTCTAATGCACTGGAACATTAAGCATGTTTACAAATATTTAACTTTAATAATCTTTAGATGACAATACATCATTCATACTGAATTTATGCTACATATAAATCCTATTATGTACCATTTATGTGTAAAAATCTGTATAAAAATCCCTTGCATGAGACTGATTGCTGGTATCGCCAGTTGTTCAACTTACCTAGCAAAGACAAAAGTCTGCTAGGGTGGGAAAGGAACAACAATCCTCAGCTTTTTGTCTTTTTTTGGCAAAGCCGGTGGGAAAAAAAGGAAAATCGAATGCAGCGACATCATTAAAAAAAAAAAAAAAACATCGATTATGAGGAGAGAAAAAAAACAACAACAGCACATAAACACAAACGAACATATACTGTACTGTATGTCCACTAGCATTTGTTTCACTTGTTCATTTATTTCAATTGTAATTACATCATGAATGCTATCATTTTAGTCTCTCTGGAAGAGATGAGATGAGTAATATTTATATATTGTTAGTTCATATGATCTGAAAAATAGAGTTGTTTGTTTTTGACAATGTGCAATATAAAAAAAAGAAACAAAGCCTCCTCAAAGAAGTACAACATCTGGGGTAATGTAGTTTACCTTTATATAAAAGCTACAGGTCTGTTCTGGAAAAAACAGGCATGCGTCAATTAAGTGAGTTTCCAAATCAGTCAGGGTCACAAATCACGAGCCATGGACCCTATGGATTTCACAAAGCACTTTGACTAATGCAAACAGCTTCACTTAAGTAGGGTTTTGTGGTTCAGTGCAAAGATGCTTTATGCTTTATTCATAGTCCGGTGCAGGAACAGAATTTGGCCTTTTCCACGGTCCTCTGGCGAACATTCGCTCTCTTAATAGAGTCACTTTCATACCTGTCTCTCTATGCTCTGAAAAAAAAGGCTCTGTTTGCAGTGGGCTTTGCTTCTCCCTTTCCTAGAGCAAGAAAGGTTGGACTGGAAACCACCACCACGGTCACATAACAAAAAAACAAACAAGCACAAGAAAACACAGAGACGGCGAGTGGACCGAAACTCAAACGGAGGATGAATGGACACAGGGCCTAGCGCTGAGAACGGCGATGGTGTACCCGTTTGGCCTCTGGACGTGCTGCCGGTGCCGGATTGGACTCGTCCTGACCATGGTGAGAGGGAGTGTCCGTCAGATAGACCTCCACGTCATCAGGCACTTCTTCAAGAAAGTTGGATGGAACCAAGCCCCGATGTCCATTAAGCTCACCCTGATAGACGGAAAAAAAAAAGGGGAGGAAATGGTTTCACAAACTCTGAAAAAAATGTAGCAACTGTGCCAGCATCTTTACTTACATAATAAAAGCCATCCTCATCTATATCTCCAAAAACAGCAACGATATCTCCAGCACAGAATGTCAGTTCAGCCTGCCATAGAAACAGTCAGTACATCAGAAACAGTAAACACGTGGAAAATGAGCAGATAAAAAAACCTGAGAGTTCAGAAATACACATTTGCACTACCTCAACATCTACATTTGGGGAGCTCTCTCTGGGGTCGTAATCATACAGGGCAACCATTCTTCTTGTGGCCACTGGATGGCGACCTCTCCTATTTTGTTCTGTTGGATAGAGAATCGTTTTTTCTCTGAGGGAGGATGAGTTCAATACAAGGGCTGCATTCGAAATAGCATATTTACCAACTATAACTTAAGATACGAGACGAAAAATACTGAAAATAATATGTAATTCTGCAAGAAATTATGCATCAATGGATACTTTACTATCCCACAAGGCCACAGGAAAGAGGATTTGTTAATCACAGTGAAGTAATGCAACAAAATGCTGGTGGGTCATGAGGTAATGACATGTGAAATGTATCTCCAAATTACGCACACGTTACATAATTTATACTGTATGGAACATACTTTATTTAGATGGCATTAAGAAATCACTTTTTCAAATTAAATACGCACTATGGCATTTACAGAATATGGCATCTCCTATGCCAGTGGTTGCCAAAGTGGGGGTCGTGACCCCCTCGGACAATAAGGGAGGGTCGCTTGGTGATTTCCAAAAATCTAATTAATTTTATTAAACTATTAAAATGGCACATATTTTATCAATAACCTACAACAGAAAAATTGTAGGTAATACCCAGGTAGCAAAAAATTCTGGCCCAGATTTGGCATGAAGCTGGCACAACAGGCATTTGTCCGGCACTGGCATACAGCATGTGGGCCAAACAAGGCCAAGGATTGACAGAGGTGACACCATCTTAAAGACATCACGCGAAACATGGCCAGATGTCAAATGTAGTATTTGGCCCAGAAGGTAAAAATTAATTTGTGGGCCACATATTTTTGGCCTGTTGTGACCCATTTTTAAAATGCCTTTAAATTATTTTTTTGAGTAAAGAAATATTTTGATGCACAAAGTCATTTCCATCTTCCTGTTTGTATCTTCTAATGCCTTTATTTTAATCCAGGAAACAACAAGATTTATTAATCTATTGTTCCCTGTATGTTGCAAATAAACTGAATTAAACCTACATTACATTTATTTTAACCAAATTATTATTTTACAAATTGAAGCCCAATGCTTCATGGGTTTATCAATTTCATTGCAGTCGTGAAATTAACCAAATATGGCTTCCAGACAACGGCCAAACATGGGCCATAGCTGGCCCAGTTCAGGTCGAGTTATGGGTTATTAACCTAGCTGAGACTAGGCCCAGATATAGTCCTTGTTTGGCCCTTATATGGAAGCCAGACTTGGTCCAGTCCTGTACCGTAATTCACTGCGGCATGTGAGCCAAGCAAAATCTGATTGTGTGGGTCAGCTGGGCCAAAGAAATTTTGCTATGTGGGTAGTTACATTACAAAAAACAACATACAGATAAAAAGCCCTCATCAGATGCTGCATAATGGTTTTATGGCACCAGGTTAAACTTTCTCACACCTTTACAACTCTCACGTTTAAACAAAAAATAGACTTGGGCCTATTGAGTGAGCTGTTGTGTGCAAGCTTTATATATTTTTAACCGCCTCAGAGGATATTGCATGTTGTGGTTGTAAGTCACCGGCATCGTTATTTTGGGGGTTGCAGACTGAAAGGTTTGTACTATTCTGTACATTAGGTCTTTATGCAATAAACTTGTCACAATACATGTATGTGACAATTAAGTGCATATGGCATAAAGAATAAAAAAATAACCATATTGTGGTTATTAATATAGCAATTAATTAATGACTATTTTAACAGTTTTAATTATTAAACAGATAATCTGTTTTATTTTGGTTAGAAAGCTTGTTATATTTGTCTGATCTGAAAATGCGATCCATGACTCAAAAACTATATTGAAGCCATGATAAGTCAGAAGTGGTTATATTTTTGTATCATTACAGTAAGCACAGATCAGTGGCAAGAAAAACTCTCACCTATTCTGTCTACAGGAGTGTTGAGTGGGAGAAATCCCTGTTTCATGAGCTGCTCCATGGTTTCATCATCCTCAGCACGGATTTCCGACACCATGTTACAGGGGATAAGTCCAGACCTGCCCCGGATCTCCCCACGATAAAAGCCATCATTATCCTTATCGCCATATACCTTAGAGACAGAGGGATGCTCAAACAACGGGTGGGCCATTTAACAACAGATTCTTTACTCCAGCTGAGTTAAACTGACCTTGATTATCTGTCCCTCTTTAAAAGGGAGCTCCTCGTCAGCGGCGTCAGGGTTCGGGGACATAGAGAGAGGGTCATAGTCAAACAGCGCCACAAAGATTCGGAAATCCTCCTGCTCGGACTCATCGTAATATGGGGGAGAGCGCCGGCTTCGGTCACGGTATCCATCTACAATGAGAAAGATTCGTAAAAAATAATTCAAAGGCAGATATAATAGGCATGATGTTACCCTATATGAATAGATGGATAGCCATGTCCTACGGTGTTATACATTTTACAATTACAATTATTAGTACTGCTTATATTAATTGAGAAAAACTGTTTACTTATTTTCCAGTAATATTTGTATTTATACATTTCAATTAAATGGTCCAGTTTAAATAAATTTGTTTAGAAATTAATGTTAAAGTGTTTTATGATAACTAACGCTGAATTTATTTAATAAAAAGAGTAAAACATAACACTGTGAAATATTATTACAAAATTATTCATTTTCTATATATTTTATTTTTGATTTCATATGATCATTCAGAGATCAGTGAATTATGCTTTAATGCTCAAGGCAGATGTATAGACCATTTCAATGTGATGATGTCATTGGCCCATGCACTTTCCTGCTTGCTATCAAACTCATGGAGTTAACATGTTAACAATGGTTTAGCAGCAGAACCACGCCTCACTTTGTCTCCTTGACCAATCACTTACTCTCTAAACTTATTTAAGGCAGACCAGCCCTCTAGCACTGTTCTTCTTGTTCTTTTGAACCCACCCTCCCTCCCTCCCTCCCTCTATTTCCTTGCTTCCCATTCACAATTCTATAAACCTCACTTTACTAGGTTTATGTACTAGGCCAGTGGTTCCCAACCTTTTTCTCTGGGGCCCCCCCCATGAACAAATACAAACATTGGAGCCCCCCCACCATATAAATACACACGCACGCACACACATATGTGCCGTATATATATATATATATATATATATATATATATATATATATATATATATATATATATATTTACTGTATGTGTGTGTTTATGTGTATTTAGATAGGCTTTGTCTTATCTTTTCTTGGCTTTTCTTCGCCTCTGAAGAATCATTGCATTGACGTTTCTCTGCCTTTTTTGTTTTGATTTTGCCTTTACGAGAAGTTGGACAAGCACATTGCGCAAGTGAGCAAAATGTAAAAAATAATTTAAAGTTATTTATTTTAATTATTTTTACTATTATGTTGGAATTTTAAGCATGTGTGTTGATTATTATTTTTTTTTTGGTACTTAAAAATACATATATAATAGTAGGGCTGATTTTGGGAAAAATCATAATCACAATTACTTTGGTCATAATTGTAATCACAATTATTCAAAACGATTATCAGTTAAAGTCAAAATTATTAGCGCTGCTGAGAATTTTTTTTTTATAAATATTTCCCAAATTATGTTTAACAGAACAAGGAATTTAACAGTATTTTCTCTAATATTTTTTTTCTTCTAGGCTTATTTGTTTTATTTTAGCTAGAATAAAAGCAGGTTTAAATATTTTGAAACCTATTTTAAGGTCAATATTATTCGCCCCCTTATATATTTTTGATTGTCTGCAGAAGAAACTACTGTTATACAATGACTTGCCTAATTACCCTAATTAAGCCTTTGAATTGCACTTTAATTTGAATGGTTGTATTTTGAAAAAATATCTAGTAAAATATTATGTGCTGTCATCATAGCAAAGATAAAAGAAATCAGTAATTAGACATGAGATATCAAAACTATTATGTTCAGAAATAAGTTTAAAAAAACTTCTTTCCATTAAACAGAAATTGGGCAGGAAAAGGGTTGCTAATATTCAGGAAGGCTAATAATTCTGACTTCAAGTGTATACACAGTTATTTTCCACCCTGCAAAGGAAAGAGAAATAAATACAATAGAATAAAAATATAAAACAAACTGTGCTTTAAGCATCTCCACTGTAAGAAAAACACTTTAGCTACAAAAATCCTTCAGTCAAGAGCAGCGAAAAATTTTTTCCTAGTTTGATTAATCATAAAAACAGGCGGCAGCAAGAATATTTTGCGCTGTCTCTTTAATGGTTTCTCTTTCACGTCTTTTAAACCTCAACTCGTTTGTTTATTACACAAATGAGGGTTAATATAAATAATCACTAAACACCGCGTTTTGACACCTATTTGACCATTAAAGCGCTCACGTTAAGATGACTTTAGATGTCTGTGCTCCTCTGCTCGTCTCAGTGTGCGAATGCTGACCGGCCGCATGCTTCTGACTGCGTGTGCGTGTAGCACACACACACACATAGGCACGCGGTCTTTCGCAACACGTGTACAGCTGTAAAGGGGGCGGTATATGATGCATATAATCGTTTATCTTGATTAATGCTTTTTTATAATTGTTTGAAATCGAAATCGCATTTTGGATTAATTGTACAGCCCTATATAATAGTGGAGCATTTTTATGCCTTTTTCTACCTCAACACTTATCCTCTCCCGCGCCCCCCTTGTGAACTCTGGCACCCCCCTTAGGGGGGCGCGGACCCCAGGTTGGGAACCACTGTACTAGGCGGTCCAATCACCCTACTAAAATATTACAAAGACTGTACCCCCACTTTGAGTCTCTGGACATCATCGTAGGACGGCTGATCAACCTACCTTCCTGTTCACTGTTTTTACTCTACTTCCCTTCCTCTTTATCTCACTGTTCTCTTACCATCCTCTTCATCCCTACAATAAAGTCTGGCTCAAGGTGTGGCATGGTCCATGCCGGTGAATTTCATAACTGTACAAGGTTTCCACCACATTCATTCTTCCAAATTCTTCCAAAATTCATCCCACCACAGCTACATTACAGCTTCTTATAAATTCAAAACATTCAGTCATTGTTGTTGTTGTTGTTTTTAATAGCGGGTTATAATCGCACCAAAACGCATTAAAAGGAAAGTGAATTATAACAGAGTGAATTTTTCTGTTACTGTAGTAGGGCTGTGCGCTATTTGTTTAACAATGACAGGTGTGCAATTCGAGAGGCCATTAAACATGTTGTAGCTTTTAGTTAAGATGAACACGGTTTCCTGTGATTCTGCATACATTTAACGATATCTTGCTGGAGTTTATTGCCGTTTCAATTTACTTTAGGATGCATCAATGCCACTCTGTAGGTCGACTGGAGACATTCAGAAATATTTCTAGCAAATCTTATAAATGTTGGAGACATACTCTCTACAAAAATGCAATAAATCGCACTTCAGCAGTGTTTATTTGAGAGTGCACTAGAAGATCTGTGCTTGAGCAGCATATTTGAGAGCGTGCAAGAAGTTTTGTGCACGAGCAGAAGAAATCGGCGCGCAAGCAAAGAGATTGGCATGCTCGTATTAACGTTACATAAATGCGATCCCCGACTTGTAATACTGTGCTCACCACATTTTTCCATTTGTCATTAAAATAACGACATAGGTAGTTGGTAGATTTGTGTAAAAGAACTCCCGCCAAAGCTGGAAAAAAATCCTAGAGGAAACACTGCTGTAACAAGAGGCAAATCAATAACAACTTTGTGTTAAAACAGCGATCATAACATTATTTATCGGTATGTGGCTCTTTTTGGATTCTTAGAAGTTATGGAAATTAAAAATGTAACAGGAAATAAGTCAAGATCATTGTTTTTGTTTACATCCCTCAAAATGGTCTATAGCATCAATGTTGAAAATATGTGGTTAATATTTTTTATAGAAACCAGGATTTGATGAATATAAAGCTTGACAAGAGCATGGCAAAAAATACTGTGACGTTTGATTAATGTCTTTAAAAACACATACTGACCTCAAACATCTAGTTTATAATTTTGTTTGTTACATTATTTGATTATTATTTAATATTATTTATAAGTAGTCATCTACCAAAATGCTGTCCAGTTGACCTGCAATTGAAAACCATAAAAGACACTTTTAATTTTAAAGTACAAGCTTATACAAGACTTTTGAAATGTGGGCATACAAACATCCAAATAATATTTTAAAGCAAAAACAAACAGCACACATCCAATGTTCTCCGTATATAATAACAAACATGCAATTCAGTCCAATGGAGTGAAATTCCTCTCCATATTTGCACAATCCATTTATTTGCCAAACATGTCTTGGGTGGGTTGAAGAAAACAGACATTTCTTACAGTAATATGATGGCTGTGATGTGTGTCACTGTGTGTGTTTGCCTGAGTGTGTGGGTGTGTGGTGATTGGGAGTGAAACACCCATATGGCAGCCAATTACAGATGAGCAGCAAGCCAAACAAGAAGCTCCTGACAGCCACACACACAAACAGAGAGAGAGAGTGAGAGAGAGAGAGAGAGAGAGAGAGAGAGAGAGAGAGAGAGAGAGAGAGAGCACGCAGTCTGAGCTACTGTAACCATGCAGAGATCTGGATCTGAGGAAGACCCATCAGATGGGGCGCATTAGCCCTGGATAAAACTACACCTGTTTCCTTTTGTCCCTGTCGCATTTTTTTTTTTTTTTTGGAGCTATGCTCGACTGTGACTCCAACATGCCCAAAGTGCATTCCAGACAGTTGCCTTTGCAGTTGATGCCAAGAAACCATTTGTGTTCTCTTACTGGTCAACTGCTACCTACAGTAGGTACATAATCATTCAGTGTAAGATGCCGCCCTTTAACTTTCACCATTCAGTCATGCATGGCCAAAGTAAAAGAATGATTGTGGTCGGGTTGAAAAGAGGAGGGGTTTGGCAGGCATCCATTGGTGGGGCAGTGCAAAGGGGAGGAGCATTCTCTGTGCAAACATGTTGCTATTGGCTCTTACAGCCCCGCTTCCAACACAAGCGTCCATCTCGGTGCAGTTTCATGCGGTTGGCCATATTCTTTCTCCTCGGACCTCGCTCTAACACATACCATAGGGAGGCCTGCGTCCCCCGTGCCTCCGGGAGGACCATGTCCTGTGCCGCGCTACACTGCCATAGTAAACATCCTCCTTGACGGGAGAGAGGTTCCCTTCACTGTTACTCTCAGTGGTTATCTCTAAGGGAAACACCAATCAGAGTGTCGTTATACCACCCTGTCACCCTGTCCAGGCTGAAGACACCCAACTACTCTGGCATCTCTTTGGGAAACCTTGGCTGCATCCGAAAGCTAGGCAGACTTGTTGCCTGATCAATCAGATAGTTGTGAGGAAGCATCATGGTTTAACTATCCACAACAAACACAAACAGCTGGTCAAACTGACCAACAACTGCAGCGTTTTGACTTTGTTTTAAGTTGTTAGCTCAACTGTCATGGAATCAAATACAAAGTACAGCTACACAATTAATTGTTAAAAGATCACAATCTCACTTCAAACACCCATGCAATCTCAATTCTAAATGATCATGATTTGCATATGCTTATTAAAGCTTTGACAATTCATAGTAGCGTTAAAAATCAGAGTATGAAAGCAACGTTATGCTTCAAATGAGATTGTAGTAATTACATTGTTATGCCAATAGGCCAATATTTAGCAATAAATTAATAAGAGTGAGTTGTTTATTTATTCATTTGAAGTGAGATAATATTTTTTAAATATTTAAAACAAAACAGAATGCTACAAATCATGTTTTGCTACTTTTTTTTGTAATTTTATTTAGTTTTTTAGTTTAAAGGTTCAAGACACCCTGGAATAGTTTTAAAAGAAATTACAGATTTATGTGTGTTGATTATCAGTTTAGACAACGTTAGCACCTGTCAGCTTTAATTACGGGGAAAACTGGATAATTTTGAGCTTTTGTCAGCTAATTTCATCTTCCGGGTTTAAAATTATTTTTGGGGCGGGATCAAAATCGTAGACCTAGCGTGCATCTCCTGGTGGAGTGGTGACGCTTGATTTCTCATTATTGTTCATAGCGGAGTTTTCTTATTCTATGGGAAGACCCTGCTTCTTAATTATGCATGAGAGCATGAGATGGTTTGCAGCAAGCATTTTTGTCGAGAGAGCTGTACGAGAATTAGGGAATGGCAGACTTTGTCTTTTATTAGTTAAGTTTGTCATTATTCAGACACATCACCTATATCCGTGCTGCTGTATTCGCCTATGTTTAAAATGCTCCGGATTACTGGCAGTTGAAATAGATAGGGCAGGAGACCTGCTGCACTGCTATCCACTGTGTCTGATTCTGACCCGGGGATTTAGGAGGAGAGAAGTCCTCCTCATTTAATGTTTATATAAACATGATTATCTTTATAATGATATAACAAATTGTGGATATGTTTATATGAAATGACAACTAACAAATCTAACAGGACATTAAATTACTTAATGTTTTTTTTTTTTTACTTTGTAAACTATAAAATCATGTCTCCTCACGGTTTGTGTCTCATTTTGTGAGCCAACTAACAACAGTTGTTTGCTCCCCTCTTTTTCCCCTGCTGTGCCGGCCACGCCCACTCTTCCCTTTGCTTTCAGCGCTCCTCACCCATCTCGGAGCATTTTTTAAAAACATTCTGAGGTAGACTTGAACAGAAAGAGGGGGGTTTCATAAAGCTTTAAAAATTGTGATCCTCAGTTATTCAAAAACTTGCAAAAACGTTGATCTATGCCCCCTTGAAAAATAAATCAGAAAAAATAAATTCTCAGAATACAGACTATGACATGATCACTGGAATCGGATGTCCCCTGTTGCCTTCTAACCTGCGCAGGCAGCAATTCTTAGCTTTCGGACGCAGCCCTTATGACAGACATAAAGAATCAGAGAGGGTTACAATGGCTGAAAGCAACAGGATATGATTATGACTGGAACACACAGTGGTGGTCTGGCACACACTGACAAGCTTATGGACATTTAACAGTTTAAACAGAGTTAATGTGGAGGACAGACAGTCCCTGAACTCAAGTCTCAGATTCTTGTCTTTAACTAGAAGAGCACTTACCAATAGATGGGACCGTGAGGGGTCGGCGTTGGGGTTGAGGACCTCGGTGAGGTGCCTTCCGGTATGAATCCCGATCCAGCTGACCCGAAGATAGAGTGCTGCCTCCAGTCTTGAATGGGGAAGAAAAGAAAACAATTTACAGTGATGCAAACCTAGATGTTTTGGGAATATTTTGTGATGTGTTGAATTTTCTGCAATACCTTGAGAGCATTGTGGGAGTTTCGCCGCCTGCCTTCTTCATGCTGCATTTCAGAATACAACTCCTCCTCATCCTCTTCCATGATGTCTGAGAGGTCTGACCCTCGACTGCTTTCCGTATGATACTCTTCACTGTGACTGTAATGAGGCTGTGAAATGCAGATTGTATGAGGAACACAAAATCACAAAGCAAAGCTAATGCAACGAACCACCTCAACCATCTTGTTTGCTTGAGGTTGTATGGTCAGGCAATCGTTTCAACTGCCATACCTGCCTGCCCAGCTCTGAGCCCCTGAGGAAGTCATCCACAGATGCTCCTCTTCTGCGGGCCTGATAGCTTTCCTCATCCTCTTCCTCATCTGAATTTTGAGAGTGAAAGCCTTGGCTTCTCCTCTCCATCTACATATATTAAAGTGTTTTCAGAAATCTTAATAAAGAAATCTGACAGTTACGCTGAGGTGAAGTTATGACAAGATGTCTAATTTTCTGTATGTTCATTAACTCTTTTTTAAAGAGTTTTCATGTACACACATACAGTATTAACCCTAGAATGCATTAAGGGGTTAAACTGACCCGATAGGGTATTTTTCAATAAAATTCTATGATTGATATTTTTTGTAGTACTCATGTTAGCCTCAGCAAAAAAAATCCATATTTTTTTATACAATTTATATTTTAAAATTGGCTAAAATATACAGACAAAACTCAAATTCTTTGCAAAGGAATATAAAATGTCACATATTTTTCCTATGGATTTATAACTCACTACTGGACTTTTGGTCAGTAGTAATAATAATACTTCATTCTTAATAAAAAAAGACTGCAAAATAATATATACTGTACATATATTTACTTGTAGATTTGCTAAATCTAAACGCTAAGCATATATTACAAAAGTCATACCGCTATAATTACACAATGTTAAATAACCCCATAACACTTAAAGGGACAGTTCACTCAAAATAGAATTCTGTCATTTAATCTATACATAACACTTAGGTTAATCTAAAAAACACAAATTAAGTTATTTTAATGAGACCTAAGAGGATTAAATTCCTCTGTTTATCATATAAAATGATTGTATCAATTTGCAATATTTGGTTTAAGTCATTTGATTCATAAAGAATAAGTTTACAATGCATTTATTAACTTTTTGAATCTTCTATGTTTTAGTTATCTTGACTTTCAATGATGAAGGGATAGAAACCTTTTAAGTTTCATTAATAATTTGTGTTTTGAAGATAAACAAAACTCTTGAGAGTTTGCAATAACATACCGGCTAGCAAATAATGACAGATTTGACCTTTTTTGTATGATTTATCCTTTTAAGTGAAAAAAACATGCAGAAGTATGTATATATATATATATATATATATATATATATATATATATATATATATACACACACACATACACACACACACACACACACACACACATAAATGGTGCCAAATATACAGTTGAAATCTGAATTATTAGCAACACCGGTTTATTTTTTCCCAAAGTTCTGTTTAAATGGATGAAAACTCTTTCAACACATTTCTAAACATAACTCATTTCTAATAACTGATATATTTTATCTTTGCCATGATGACAGTAATTAATATTTACTAGATATTTTTCAAGACACTTCTCGGGTAATTAGGCAAGTTATTGTATAATGATAATTTGTTCTGTAGACTATCAAAAAAAGCTTAAAGGGGCTAATAATTTTTTTACCTTAAAATGGGTTTTAAAACATTTTAAACTGCTTTTATTCTAGCCAAAATAAAACAAATTAGACTTTTTCCAGAAGAAAAATATTATCAGACAAACTGTAAAAATTTCCTTGCTCTGTTAAACATCATTTGGGAAATATTTACAAAAGAAAAAAAATCAAAGGGGGGGTAATAATTTTGGCTTTAACTGTATATATTGACATATGACACCATGTGTGTGTGTGTGTGTGTGTGTGTGTGTGTGTGTGTGTGTGTGTGTGTGTGTGTGTGTGTGTGTGTGTGCGTGTGTGTGTGTGAAAGAAAACAAAGAAATAAAAAAATTAAAAGGAAGATTTTAAGCATTATTAACAATCATATGGGTCATTTTGACCTCTGCTATTGATGTAGGTTTTTTGGGTCATGCATTCTAGGGTTAAGGCTGGTATTAAGCTATATATACCATGCTCTTTGCTCACTCTTTGACTCACCCGACCACTCTCTGCAGCCACTCTCTGGGCAGCCTCTCTGGCAATAGCCTTGGCCACAGTGTCAGGAATGAGTGTTCCCCTTGGCTGGGGGAGAATCCTTTGAGGGGATGGGGAGCGCCGATTTGGGCAGGCCGGGGCCTCCAATGTGTGTCCGTGTGGCATGCCTGTGGGAATGCCTGATGGGGAGCAACCAGGCTCCCATGGCTGAGGTGGGCCCCCTCCATGATGAAGCATTCCCGGCCCTGGCTCTTTGGTTTCCAGCTCTCTGGCACTTAGTGGTCTTTGGGGTTGGGGAAGGGGCAGTTGGGGAATGTGAGGCTGGGGCATCGGGATAGCTGGCTGGGGTTGCAGCATGGGAATGGGTGGCTGGGGTTGGGGCATAGTCATAGGCTGCTGGGGTTGAGGCATAGGCATGGGTGGCTGGGATTGGGGCATGGGCATGGATGACTGAGGCTGGGGCATTGGTATAGATGGCTGGGGTTGAGGGATAGGATGTGCTAGTAAAGGCTGGAGGTGCGGTGGAGAGGGCTGTGTGGGATGAGGCATGCGGTGTGGATGAAGGTGAGCTGGGGGCTGGTTGGGGCAAATGGGAAGGGGCTGAAGATGGGTTGGTGGTTGGGGTCCAGTGTGACGGGGAAGGATTTGAGGATGGTGTGGCATCGTATGGGACTGCTGGGTTGGGAGAGGGGGCTGCATGCGATGAGGAAGAGGAAGGGTTTTAGAAAGAGGCACCAGCAGGTGGTTTGGAATGACGGCGACGTGGGAGTCTTGAGATTCTCCTTGTGCTGATAAAGTCCTGACGATAACCTCACGTGCCTCCAAACACTGGAGACGGTTCAGCTCTACTGCCACATAGTCTGCCATTGGATATAACACCTCAGCGATCTGAAACAGCATTAAGGTGTGGTCATAAACCCAGCCATTTTGATAAGAATCCATGCAATTAGAAAAGTGACTTCTGTGTGAGCTGTACTTCATACATTAATTCAATATTGATGAAAATGTCTGCCCCAAAAATTTGCTAATGTGACAGAATTCTTCTCATTAATCCCCCAAATAACAAAAAAGACTATTAGTGTGAAAATCATTCATTACTCAAAAACCCTTGAAACCTTTACTTCAATGTTTGGAACTTCCCTGCTCCACCAACAGGGGGCATCACTGTGAATTTCTAACAAAAATAAGTCTTGATGACACTTGTTTAGCCAACATGCATTTAAGAATTGTTCTGTCACATAAACGTCATCAGATGTGACTTCTGATGCATGCATGTCCTTACCCTCTGACCCTTAGTGCACACTGCGTAGCCAATAATATTTGCACCATTGGACATTCCTATTGGTGACATTGCAGGGGGCTTCCAACGGACTTGGAGGATCCCTGGGGCATGTCCACACTGGACTTGAACTTCTTGCGGAGGCAGAGGGGGTCCTGGGGAGAGACAGAAAACCACAAGTTAGTTACTGTAACACTTTTCATGCAAAACATCTGCCTTCCTGGGTTCATTCATATGCGTTTACAGTAACATGGTCATTTCAACATCTATACAGCTGAATAATAGCACAAGGGCATGCATTACTTCCAAATGTCTGCATATTTCAGCTAATTAATTAATTCAATTAGCCCCACTAAATCTATTATTGCTGTTTTCAACTATGTTAAGTGAAGTTTTTTATTACTTTTACGCATTTCTAATCTCAGAAGAGACTGTGTGCAGTTATTCTCAATATTCAAATTGTGATATTCATTTGAGCAATGCTGATACTAACTCCTATAATCAAAGATCAAATTTTCACTCTCTGCCTAATTTCAGTAGCGGTCTGAAAATCTGTTTGTTGGCTACTTACCATCAATGTGGTCTGAATGAGTAACCTTATGGGCTGCACAAAGGTCTTGCAAATTATAAAACAGCATTATCAAATTTCTAACTGATAACAAAACTATAAATCAGAAGGTAATCAAATTAGACTTTGTGGATCGAAGTATAATCAAAACTACCATTCACTTTATGCATCTAATTTTCCTAGAATTGGTGCTATATCTAAACAACATTACTGTACAGTTAAATCTTACCTGCCGCCTGAGTGCAGAATTCCACCCCAGCCTCTCTCTTCTCTCTCTGCTCCAGGGGCATGTGCCAGGGCACCTGGTGAGGTTTGGCCAACACTTTTACCTTGTACACAGTGGCAGCTTTCAGGTTCACAAAACGCAGTTTGTAAGAACATGGCTTAACCACAGCATGCTCCACACCATCTAAGTACACAACATGGGCGTAGTTACTATTACTGGGCAGCCAGGAAAGTTCAGCAGAGTCACGTAAGATATCGTCCATGCGCAGGCCGGTGGGGGCCACCACAACATTTCGGCCCACCAGCAAGGTGCAGCGCAACTCATCGGAGAGCCCCCTGTCCGTCACACTCTGTACTGACACACGGTAGGTGAAGGCAGCCAGATCTAGCTTCTCAAGAAGCAGTTTGGTCCTGCCCCCAAACGGCACAGAAGAACGTACTTCCCCCTCCACTAAAATATTGTAGCCATTGATGTTTCCCCAGCCGAGGGGCACCATGGGTGCCTCCCAGGCCACTATCACACTTCTTGCCAGCTGTTTGATCAGGTTGATCTTCCTAGGGTAAGGCACAATGTCTTCTCCCAGTTCCTCTCCATCTAAAGCCCCTGTCCCATTACTGCAGTGGTCGAGGACATCACTGCTAATGCTATCCAGCGGACCGCCTCCATCTATGGTAGTCAGACTAAGACAGCTCTGCTCCAGCCTGCCCTGCTCCTCTACCCCTTCAATAGAAAGCTTTTCCTTGTCCTGGACAAACTCCACAAAATTCGAGGGAACCAGGCCACGCTGGCCATCCAGCAGCTCCCCTGGAGCAAGACAAAAAATAGAAAGATCTCATAAGCTGCGGCAGATTTCATTACATAAAATGTAATTGTGATGCATGTCATTAAAATACATGATGCCAGGCATTTCCTACTGATTAAACTCACTGTTAGTCTTTGCCTTTTATTTATTCTGCAGTATCCATTAGCAAACAAGTTACTCAATTTTTTATGCAATATCAATAGTGTTACAACATTAATTACCTTCATAAAATCCATCATCGTCCATGTTACCATATACGTACAAATACTTCCCTGCCACAAGGGGGAGCTCTGCTTCGGGATGTTCATTAGGTCCATCGTAGGGATTATAACTGACCAAAATAGCAAACAGTAAGTGGGAAAGAAAACATATATTAAAAAATGTTAAGATTCTTTCATTCATTTTCTTTTTGGCTTAGTCCCTAAACCGCCAACGTATCCAGCATATGCTTTACGCAGCGGATGCCCTTCCAGCTGCAACCCTTCACTGGAAAATGTTAAGATTTTACCAAGTAAATTTAAATTGTATTAGTTTCTTTACATTAAATAAGCTCAGTGTAACATACTTTAGAAATTATTTTAAAATGCTAATTTGGTATAACTGCCTCATTTAAGTTACACAGACCTTTTGTTATTCATTTATTTATTGAATACAAAGTTTTATAAAGCATTATTTGAACGTAAATATTTAGTCAAATTAAAAATGACTTTTCATCAAGTTAATGCTAAAAATACCCCAAATTTTTCTAAACATCATCAGATAAATAGTGGCTAAGCTTTAAGAAAAGTACCTGTAGCGGGCAGTGCAAAGACGGACCTGGCCTGTGTATCTCGTTTTGGACCTCGAAGGTGGCCTCACCTCATCATCCATCTATGAACACAGGAAATCATCTTAAATTTTCATGTTAACCATAGCAACAATAATATACTATGACAGTATTACAGAGACATTGTAATTATGTAACATCCTTTTATTTCCAGTTCTGCTTCCAATGTGCACAGTGTATGCATGTGTTCATGGATGATCTGATTCATGTATGATGAAGTGTATGGAGTGGAGATGATTACTACCGATTTGCATTGATGTCAATCAGAGAGACAGGGAAAGAGCAAAGCTAAAGTGTGTAATATCTATGATGATAACAGCAGCACAAAATAGAAATGGCAAAAACAATGACAGGTTTTGCCATTGTTGTGAGCAAAAGTTTGGTTGCAGCACTGAGTCAAAGAACCAGATTTACCCAATAACAACAACCAAAAAAAGTGTGCGAGTCCCTCAAATTAAGGAACAAAGATGAACATTCTCAATTACAAATCAACCAATGGGCAAATATGTATGAGTGCAAAGAAAATAATTTGATATTCATAATCTCAAAGCTTGCCTTTATGAAAAAAGTTGTAATTTAATTAACGCAGATATGATACACTAATAATTGAACAAAAAGTATTGTTTTTTTTTTTTTCATTGAGGCCTATTTATTTATTGGCCAAAAGTAGGCACTCACAAAATAGACAAGCTTAATTTAAGTGAAGTTTACTTCTAAACTAATTTCAGAGGGATCACATGCTTATGATTGACCACAGCTGGTCCCGCATTAACGCATGATGACCAATCAGATGAGTCCTAGCTCACTATAAATAACCAAAGATTCTTACCTCAGTTATATTCATTTTGAAGTATCCCCCCTTCCACCCCTACTCCTTCTCCCTTTTCCTTGACAGGGTGGGACGGCAGAACAGTGGTTAGCACTGTTGCCTCACAGCAAGAAAGTCACTGTTTCAAGTCCTTACTGTGTGGATTTTACATGTTCTCCCCATGCTCGCGTGGGATTCCCCTGGGTTCTCCAGTTTCCTCCCACAGTCCAAAGACATGTAACATAGGTGAATTGACCAAACCAAATTGGCACCATAGATGAGGTCTTAACCAGCAGTATATCTCTCCATAGCAATCCCTAATTGCCATTGTCCATAACTAAGCAGGGGAGTTCTCAAAACCCCACTGAGCTCAAACTCCCCTCTCGCCCTGCAAATGTATGGGAACCCCGGGCTTAAGGATCTTATGAGCTCAGGCCTCTCTCCCAGGACAGCATGCCAAGCACGCTTTATAATCAATCATCAGCAGTGTGAACTCTTGAAGTGACCATAAGACATAATCCTTCTAGATGCAGAGGTGAAAGACTTCAAAACTAAACAGCACTCATGCGCTCAGGTCACGCAACTCATGTTTACTTACAGTAAGCCATATCTGACTGTATTTATGTGAAATAAACCACAAGATGTACATTTTGGCAGCTGCTTGTGAGGGCAATACGTGATTCCCTAAAGTAGTCTTTTAATTCCTGAAGTAAATTTAAAATAACATATCTGGCAAACAATTTGTTCGGACAATGTGTTTCTTTGGCATTCCAAATAAATGAACACTCTCAGTTCTCTAGGGCACCGACTCCTGGCAGTTACAACTTGCAGCCATTTCAAGCACAACATTTAAGACATGCTTTTTAAAGTATTAAATAGTGGTGCAAATACACATAATTTGATCAAAGCAAACAATAGTAAATCACCTTGATTCATTTTATTCTCACCCTCCCATAAATTTAGCATCTGACCAGGAAGATCATACAAATGCATATTTCAGGTGCAAAAACAGCCATGTCTTTACAGTTTTAGTGCCATTCTTCACTGCACATGTTTAGTAAATATGCACAGTACTAAGTTTTATGCACAGTTTTACCACCAAAAAGCAGGCGGAAGCAGTTAAATTCGGCCCAAAGTGCAAGATCACAAATTATTTAGGATTATGTTTAAGCATCTAAAGTCTCACAAGTATCTGATTTAAGTTTCAGACTTTCTTTAAAGCATCTCAGAAGCATCAGAAAATCTTTAAACCAAACATCTGATGTGAGGTCATTTATGCTCCTAATTATAGAGAGGCCAATTATAAAAGCATGAAACTAGCACATATATTCTCCCTAGTAAAATGCAGGCAGATAAACAGATACTGCTTTTTGCTCACAGCAATGTTTAGCGGAATGATCAGATTATGTGTGGTTGGCTGAGAGAGACCAACCTCTGAGAGGGATGCTTGCATGGGGCTGCTGGAGCGACTCCGGGTTTGGACAGTGGGTTTGACCGTCAGCTGCTCTGGTTTGTCTCTCTTGTGTTGCTGTACTATGGGCAGTTCTGAGACCAGTGGAGATCCGTCAGATCTCTCATCACCTGCAAGCATGAGTTACTGCGTTCATGAGTGATTGCGTTCAATGAACAATAGGATGAATCTGAAAAAAAAATGAATCTAAATAAGGCTGTGAAGTAAGATGCAAAACTTAAAATAGGTTTTAGTTAAAAAAATGTTTTAATGTAAAACCTAACCAGGGACGAGAGCTGCAAATTAGCTTTATGCTATTTGCCCTATGTACGCAACATTGGTTATCTTTGTATAACAATGTCAAGTGTATTGTCCCTGTAAAATAAATTAAATAATAATAAATTATTTACCTGTGCATGTATTACTGTAAAAAGCAGAAAAGTCTGATCTCAACTTAGTTGACCGGTTTCTCCACAGATTAATACCCACTGTGGTTGATACAGTATAGGTTTAAACACTGGAAAAATTATATTTCAATTATTAAAATTCCTCAAGTTTGTATAATAATAGCTGTTCTAGTTTTTATTATTTAGAAAGAGTGCTGCAGTTATTTATTTGTGATAAATTCCTTAAATAAGGTCTGTGAATAACACAAATCTCAAGAAACCATATTTTCACATTTTATTTAAAGTCATTAAAATACCCACGTGTGAGCTTTTAACTTATGCTATTTTTAACAAGTGGCTAATCGGGAGATTCATCACACCAAACTAGTAAATTCATATACTCACAAGTATGCTTACACTGTAAAAAATGTTGGCTTTCATACAGTCGATTAGTGTTGGGGCAACATGAAGGAATTAAGTTCATTTATTAGATTTTACAAATAGAAGTGGATTGAACATAAAACAAAAAAGTTATCCCCAAAAAAACTCAAGAATTGTGTTATCTCAGCTCATTTTAAATAAATAGTTTAAACAAACAGCAAACGTAATTTGAGTGTAATTAAAGGTGCTGTGTGTAAATTTGACTCTTCTAAAGCATAAAAATACAATAATATATTTGCAGATATTTAAGAAACATAGCAAGTGAACATTCTTGTTTATCTAAAAAACAATTCTGACGTCAGATATTCTGCTTTGAAAATGGGTGAACGGAACGGCTGTTTTTGTTTTCGTCATTCAACCTGCCCAATGCCACTTTAGCCAATTGTATTTCAGCACCCCGGGTTGCCATGAAAACTGCATATTTCATTCATTCATTCATTCATTCATTCATTCATTCACAAAGGCTCTCAAAGTATGCGTCCATGACTGAAATGCGACCTCTGGTGGACAGTAGCAGACTCCAAAATGAGACCCAGATTCAGAGATCCACATGAGGTTATTAATTCGCAAATAATAGATGCGTAAACAGTAGGTGAGCAGGTTACATTGTAACCCTGTTTCCTAACAACACGCTACGTGACGTGATTTGCAGTGATAAGCAATTTGGCTGTTTGCACCAGACGAAACATGACAGAAATTTAAACACAATCATTCAGAAGCACAGAATATGCACTCTCATAAAGTGGTAAGATTTATAATCAAATTAGTACATGCTGTACATGCTGAATTACTGATATGTGTTGGTTTTGAGTCACAGTTCAAAAATTCAATTTCAAATGGTTTGTTTTATTTTCAAGATCTGAGGTGAACTATCTGCTGCTGCTTTTGGTATATGGCAATAAATGTCATGTAAAATGGCATTCAAACTCACATTATCAGCCTTTAACACTGAATAAACCACATGAAGTGTACCTGAGGTGCTCATTGTCAAAGTTGTCTGTTGTTCAGCTGCAAGAAAGCCATTTCTAATATATCAATTCAAAGTATTGGCTAGAACAAAAAACACTTTAAATATTGATAATATTGCTTCTATCACGTGCTGTTGCTTTTATATAGAACATGTTTTAAATCAGCCTTTAGGCTTGATCATCAGACTCACTCCTGTTGGTCCTCAATCTGGCAACCTGCGCTCGCATTTGTTTTATCCAGGAATGTTATACTTAGTTTAACCACTGGTTGTCAAACTTACATACTGCACCTTTAAGTTTATAATGTTCTTCATTAATCAGATTTTCAGATCAAATTTTAAAATTATTTAAGTAAAAGCTGAAAGAATTGCCTGCGTTTAGCTTTTACTTCTGCCAATTGCCTTTAGGCTTCTAAATTTAAAAAGGTTGTGCTCTTCAGTACAGGAGTCATGAACTATTGATGGTCACAGAGATTATTTTCTGCAATAATCCAAAAGCCAATGGAAAATCCTAATGTTTTTCCCCCCAAGGGAATCAGGGGGATGCCAACTTCTTGGCTGGCCTACAAAAATGCATCACTGCAGCACTCAGTTTAAAATCTCAAAAAATTATTTAAATAAAAAGTACTATGATTTTACCATGATACAATGATAAAATGGGCTTCTTATATAACATGTATGGATGCATAGGAATGTTTTTTAGTCATATTTACTGTGCATGGTACTCTAAAAAAAGTAACATTACTGTTACTCCATGCTAATACCATGCAATAAAACATGCTAATACAATAAAAGGGTCCAAAACATGGTAAAACCATGATACATATTTTGTGAATGCAATATGTTTCTTGGCTGCAAACACATATTGAAAAAAGGGCAACCGAGAGATATTTTTATGTAAATTAGCTGCATTTCAGGAAGGCCAGAGCTGCTGGAAAGGTGTTATCAAAACTGCCCACAATATTGTAAAATAACTGTGATTCATGTGGGAGAAAATACACCTCCAAATGTTTTTAAAAATGCTTCGCTCACTTTTTTCTGCCTGGCGCTGCAGGCTGTTGTAACTGTTGCACAAGTTTTTCTCCTGTGAGTCAGTGTTGAGTGTATCCTCGGCGTCTGACCCCAGGTGATATTTCTCCAGCTCTTTCGACAAAATATTGCACTGCTCACTCTGTGCCCGGCATTTCTGCTCTAAGTCATGAACCTTGACCTTTGAGGGTCACAGTAAAGAATAAAAAAGAAAGAAATACACAAGCGATGAAATGGAATCGTTTATATCATACAAAGGAATAAATACACTAATCTGTAGCAATGGTTCTCAAATGGTTTCACTTTAGGAGCCGCCAAGATGCAAAATCATGCCCAACAAAAATGAACATTTTTACCATGACAGACACAGCTGCAAGCGAAAACTGACGATTTAGCAGTCTGGCACATGGAACAAACATTGGGCAAAAAACTGTACTATTAGGAAAATGCCTGCTATTAGACAAATTACCCAGCATTGAAAAACAAAATGTTATAAACTTGATTGGATGCGAAGCCTGTGAACATGAGTTTGTAGTTGTTTTCTCCTTTTAGAGGCTTATAAGCCTATTTATTCAGATGATCTAAGTAGCCATTTTTAAGGAAAACGTTTTTTTGGAAATAGTCTTATTTTAGCTATACAGTTAAGTTTTTAAAATGTTTGAGGCATTTAGCTGATCTCCGTGTCGGACAGAAGCTCATTTAGCTTAGTTTAGCATCAATAATTGAATCGGATAAAACTATTAGTATGACCAAAGAGTTTCAATAATTTTCCTATTTAAAAATTGACCCTTCTGTAGTTGCATTGTGTGCTAAGAACAACAAAACATGAAAAGTTGCTATTCTCTTAGCCGACCTATACTCTGCAATGATGCGCAATGGGACTATTTTAGGCAAATAAGTAATATCATTGCATCTGCTCACTGCAAAAATAGCTTTTCTTACTTATAATTTTTGTTTTATTTCTAGTCCAAGTATCTAAAAATTAAGTCAAAAAGCATTTTCTAGACAAGAAAAAAAAATGTATACAAAGATTAAAACAGAGAGAGACCTTTTGGATCTATACAATAAAATTTCAAAAAAGCAAATTAGATTTTTCTCCTTTTTTTGTAATTTCCCCCCCTCTTTTTTATATGTTCTATAATGTTTCATTTATATATTGTTTAATATATATTTATTGATGTATGTGTATGTGTGTATATGTATGTGCATGTTTATGCATTTATTTGTACAATATACTAGTTTATCTGTCTCTATATACATATTTTTGTGGTTTCATTCTATATTTGTTGTACTATTTGAGAGATATGTTGTATAACACGCATCATCTTTTTAATTTTTTTATCTAAAATGAATGCGTTTATTTTTTCTCCCTCGCTTAATGCTGAATTAATAATAATTCTTGAGTTGAATTTGTGTTCAATATATTATATTAGGATTGTTTAGATATTCTAATGAGTCATGAGACCGTAGCATTCAAAAAAACTCCAGAAGCACCTGATCACTGTTACTCTGATGAAGGCAGTTGTTTGCCGAAATGTGTAGGCACAGTTTTAAGAAAAAGACCATGGCAATAAAGGCTTTTTCATATTTTTCCACATTTTTGAGTGCCTTGGACTAATTTTTGCTGTTTATACTGATGAATCCCTTACCCAAAGAGCACAGACACATTATTTAAGCTACCCCTGAGCACTTTTTGTTTGATTTAAAAAAAATATATAATATATAAGTAGAAAATAGTTAAGAAATAGTATGTCAAAATTAAGCGATTTTTCCGTAAAACAATTCAAACAGTCTGCCAAAGGGGTAAGCAAAATATTTTATTTTGCTAGTTTTGACAGTATTATTTTGCTTACAGCGTTGGCAGATGATTTAGCTTATTTTAAGGAAAAATCACTTAATTTGGCGTATTATTCCCTTTAAAAGACTATTGTTTGCTATAAAATGCTTCTTGACTAAGACAAAGAATCTAAGTAAGGTAAGCTTTTTTGCAGTGCCGCTGCAGCTATGGTATGGCAGCAAAATCCCTTGATTATTAAGCTCTAATGAGAATATAGTTCATAGCCATATCGAGCTAGAGAATAGCAGCTTCCATTTTCTGTTGGTTTTAGTACTATGTAACTACAAGAGATTCAACCTTTAAATATGAAAATTATTGACATTTTTTTTTTGAGTGAGATGGAAGTGGTCTCATCCAATTCAATGATTTATGCTTAACTATAAACTAAAAGTGCTATCTTCAGAGCCAGAGGTTGGCTGAATAGATTGTGAATTGGTAAAACACAGCTGTTTAACTCTATGGAATCGGCTGCACGATATAGACCATATTGATGCATGTAATTGTAAACAATAACAATGGTCTTAATGTATTTGCTGTTTTACATTTTTAGTTTCCGTAGCTTCAGAGAATTCACAAAAGTCCACATATTGATAATTGATGTTATGATTTCTGTTTTAATGTTAAGTTATTATTGAATTGCCTCATATTTCAGTTATGAAATAGTTTAACAACAAGCAGGAATTGTTCATGGGCCAATGACACATTAAAATGGTCTACTAGAAAAATCTGACAAGATTTTGTTATTAAGCGATATATATTGCGACATGAATACAATTTCACCACATGACTTGAATATCTTTATCTGTAATGAATTTAATCATTTTAGATTGATGTAGGGGAGTGCATATGCATACAATATAAGAAACCATCTAAAGACATAGACAAATACAATAAAGAAAAATATACAAATGAAATAAACAGTGTTTATACTAACAGTATTCAGGTATCCAGAAATTGAATAATCAAATGCAAAATAATACTGCATAATCTTCATTTTATAAATATTATTGATTAAATTAATTGTTATTAAAGTTACAAAACGGTACAATTTTTCCAATCCTCATACAGTTACAGGCCTCAAAAACACATGCTAATGATAAATTATAATCCAGACTCAACATTGTATATCCTGCGATGTGACTATTGTGAATGATCACATTGCGAAAACAAAGCTGAAACGATACATTGTGCAGCCTTACTATAGGGAACTTGAAAATGAGCAAAATTTTATTTCCAAAAAAAAAAAACAAAAAAGGTGGCTTGTTCCTTTAACACAATAAAAGGTTTTTATAAAGTAAAATGAAATGCTGTGTCCTTTTACATAAAATTACATTTAACTAGTGCATGTTTAAGTTTTACAAACAATACAAAGTCAGAGCATTGGTTTTGTCCCTGTTGGCAAAAATAGAAAAAATCTGTGAACCACTTCTGGGTTGTGACCCACTTGTTGAGAACCACTGAACTACAGAAATACTGTATCTATAGTACAGAATATAAACAATCAACGTAATGACAAATTATCTGCTTGTGAAAAGAGACCTGAGAGAAGCTTTTTGCATTTCATCAGCAAAAAAAATTAAAATACAGAGCTCCAACTGGCTTTGAACAATGGCTTAACACAGAGCACCTGCTTCAAGGCATGCAATAAGAGCACTTTTAGTGGCATTAGAGGTTTAAATAAACACACACGCACACACAGGTTAAGAGTATTATCTAACCAGATCATAATACTGATACAGTCACATAATTTCACCTAGTTTTACCCCAACTAAAGACCTGATGCAACAGTCTGTCACAGGAAAACATTAACAATTCATTGCCACACAGAGGAGTGCAGCAGCATAGATAATAAACTGATGCACAAAAAGCAAGGATTTTAAAGTGACAGATTATCCAAACATGACAATTCTGCCATTATTTACACATCCCCTCATGTCATTGTTAATATAAGGTGATGCGTTAATAAATAATTATTTTAGTCAGTTCTTTAAATCAAAGGTAAACAAACTCCCCAATAAAGGCAATAGCCACATTTGCAATGCTTTTTTTGTGCTTTGTGCTGTATATGAAGCTAGAAAGCTGGATTGTGACCCTGTATGACAAAAACAGTAAGCGTACATTTTATTTGATATATATTATTTGGCATGAAAGCTGAATAAATAAGCTTTCCATTAATGTATAGATTCTTAGGAAAGAACTATATTTGTCCAAGATACTCTAAATACTGAGAAAATCACTTTTAAAGTTATGCAAATTAAGCCCTGTGGAATGCATTACTAATCAAAAAATATGTTTTGCTATACTTATGGTAAGAAATTTACAATACATCTTCATGGTACATCTTTACATAATATTCTAATGATTTTTGACATGAAAGAAAGATCAATCATTTTGATCCATTTAATGTATTATTGCCAAAAATATACCCATGCAACTTGAGACTGATTTTGTGCTCCAGGGTCACAAATATGGAACAAAATATGAGTTAATGAATCAAAATTTCTGTTTTTTTTATTTTTATTTTATTAGTGAAGGAAAGTTTAGAAGCTTTGAAACAAGTACACAATGAAAAAAAGACATTTCCAGGGTGAATTATTCATAGTTTAATGTATGTTTGTTTTGTATGCCTCTCATGACAGAGAGAGAAAAAACTAATATGGAAGGTTACCAAAAAGAAAAACTGCATGAGTGTGAGTGTGTGTACCTGCATTTTGTCCATATGGCTCTGTTTAAACACAAAAGGAAAAAAAATGAAAATCAGAATGATCGGGGTCAGAGATGAAAAATAACACAAAACTAAAAATATTCAACTATGGGGGGAAAAGGATAAACTGAATGGCTTAAAACTAGGGATGCTTCGGCCGATCGGCTAGAGATCGGTATTGGCTGATAATCACATTTAATGACTCGATTTTTTACTCACCAATCTGGCCGATCGCACAAACTGATGTGTTTGTTTACAATTTTTACATCGGCTCCCAACACAGCAGCTAAAAATATATACAGATGTGGTGCGACTTCTGTTTATACAGTTTATTTACACGACTCGCATGAGCGATGGTCTCTTTGATGCAACCATTGTATATCCAGTGTTTTGAGCTGCTGTGACTAGTGTCTCCTCCAACCATGTGACTTTGCGAGTCTCCCGCATATTAATAGCTGCTCTATGAGACGCACAAATCATAGCGACGAGAGTAGATGAGCAAGAGAACAGATCGTGAGAGGCACATCGATAGTGTAAGTAAGCATTATAGTTGTTAGGTAAAATGAATAGATATAACTTTTTGTAATATACTTATTGCAAAAAACAAACGTGTATAGACCTATTTCCTTTTAGTTAAGAAGTCATACATATATAGGTTTGCATCTTAACTTATCTAAATGTTTTTTTCAGTGAAACATGTTAAATGATTATTTCATCACTTGCAATGTTCTTAAACAGCATTGTCAATCATTTTTCTTGGCAGATTTTTTATCTTTTTTGTTCCTTAAAGCTGCTTCTGACCATGACATGTCCACACTTACTGGTTAAAAGAGACATGTTTAAGGGATTATATGAAACACCCTTCATTTATTCTTTAAGGTAAGGCGAGATCTCCACTTAAGTATCATACTTACAGGTAAAATTTGCTTTATGCATTAGCAATGACAAGGAATCATGACTCTGTAAAAATCCAGATCGAAGCATCCCTACTTAAAAACTAAATATTAGGGTATACAATAAAAAACAATATCACAGATGGAAAGAAGCAAAAATGATGAAGGTTGTAAAAATAAGGAACCACAAGAAGGATGCCCCGTTGAGGATATAAGCTCTTAAGCTGACCATACATGACAAGCAGAAGCTTCTCAGAGCGGACCGAATGTCAGACATTGTGGTCTTTTATCAAAGACAAGAGAGATCCAGACAGGCCTCGCTGGTCCCTTCTAAATTTATCTAGATAATTTGGCTAGACGGGTCCTTTCTGCACGAAAGGCAGCCCTTGCTGACCAAGCCAGAAGTGTAAATTAATCTTTTTTATAGAAAGATGCCAAAGCATGGAGGAAAAGGAAGTAGGTTATATTTTACCTCTAGCAGATGCACCACTTCTTCTCGCTCTTTCTCAGCTTCAGCCTGAACCTGAAAATAAGAGATAGCACATTTAGGTTAGTTGTACAAGTGTGATTCCATTCACTCAAAACCTAATCAACATCACAAAGTATCTGCAACCTCAGCAGGACATTATAATCTCACATCGATTGTGAAAGATTTGCCAAGATTTGTTTGGCAAAACTGCTTCTTCTAACTTCACACAGATCTATTGATCCCAGAAAGGAAATTCCTTATCTGAAGGACAAAACTCTGAGTCAGAGTTTACAGTAGTTACTCATAAGTGAGTAAAATTATAGTGAAATATGTTTGTTGGCAAGTAGGAAGTTAAGACCAGTGTAAAGAAATAAATTACAAATAGTCAAATTACTGTGAGTAGTTTTTCTCTGGAATTAAGTAGTTTTAAAAATGTGTACTTTTACTTGGGAAGCATTTTTAGTGCTGTATTAGTACTTTTACTAAACCATTTTCCTTCAACCTGCAGTCACTAATTTATATGTTTATTTTTTTCGTGTCTACACTGATTGGCTAAGTAAAATAATCAGTCCCGTAATTCCAGTCTAATTAAATCATTTATAGAAAAATTGCATCAGACCTCAAAACATGGATACATTATGAATGCAGCAAACATGTACAGTGTCTAAGCATGAAAAGTCTCTAAGAAGACTTCCACACATAGACTGTTTAGACTGCAAAACGAGAAGATGAGAAATATGCCAACTGTATGATGACTGAAATCTCCAAATGACCTAACTGAATAGACTACAGAATGTTACGTTTTCAAATACATTTCCCTTAGCTTACACAGATTTTGCTCCTCATGTAAATCCATCAACCTGCTTTGTGTGGGCTTTTTAGGTGCATATATTCATGTTCTCACTATAATTGAATCTCACAATTTTAACTTATAATCAATGAATGGCAAATATTTTAAGAAAATGTCACTGATGTAAGCTACATCCACAGACTACAGCAAATACTCCGGACTGCTGAACGAATCACTTGCACTACCCTTTCTACACTTTAAGAACTGTATTCTTCCAGAGTGAGTAAAAGGGCTTGCAAAATCACTCTGGACCCCTCACACCCAGCACACTTTCTGTTTGAACGGTTACCGACTGGTCGGCGCTACAGTGCACCAAGCACAAAAACAGCCAAACACAGGAATAATTTCTTTCCGCAGGCCATCTACCCTAATGAACAGTTAAATATTACCCTACTATGCAATAAACAAATGCAATATTTTCTTATATGCACTTGTACACAGCACCTTATAACAATATACAATGCAATATTTTCTCTACGCATTTGTACACAGCACCTTATAACTTTTATATTTATAACAAATCTGTACATAGAATTCACCATCCAGAGCTTTTTGACTAATTGCATCTCTGTTTTATGTTTGTTGTGTCATGTTTATTTTCATGTCACTTTATGTACACTGGAAGCTTCTGTAGCCAAAACAAATTCCTTGTGTGTGTGTAAGCACACTTGGCAGTAAAATCAGGTCTGATTCTCATTCATTTTCCTTCAGCTTAGTCTCTATTTCAGGTGTCGCCACAGCTGAATGAACCACCAACTATTCCAGTATTTTTTTACGCAGCACATGCCCTTCCAGCTGCAACCCAGTTCACACACACATTCATACACTACCGCCAACTTAGTTCATTCAATTCACTTATCCAAACTCCACACAGAAATGCCAACTGGCCCAGCCGGGACTCGAACCAGTGACCTCCTTGCTGAGGCGTGACTAACCACTAACCTCTCAGCCACTGTGCTGCCTTAGTAGTGTTTAAAAACATATATATTTACTCACACTACATTTTTGGCAAGTAATGGTACATTTACTTGATGTTGATTTTACAGTACTCTTTCCAACACTGGTTGAGACCCAAATCACATGTATAGATGGGCCACAGTTGCCATGCAAGTTGTGTCAAAAAGTCATTTTAAGCATATATGCCAATGTCGTTAGTGAGATGAAAGCTCAGTCGAACCCCTCCCTAGGGATCTGCACTGATGCGGTGTCTACTGTCGGCTCTAATTGCTTTGTTTGCCTGTCGCTGTTCCTTCCTGAAAGGCCGCAGACACAAAGGAAAGCAAACAGCTCTGCAGCCATGATCCTATTATGTGATTGCACTGATTTTATCCAGCCCTACTATGCCAGAGTATCTATTACTTCCATGTCTGAAGAATATTGTCTTTTCTTTATGACAGCTTCAGCGGAAGGACTGGAAAGGAAGGATGGCATGTCATGATCATTAGATATGATACCATAAAGAACTGATGAAAAAGATGCTGGTAAGATCCATGCTTTAAAAGCGCTTCATAGCTTAAAGTTTATCGAGACAAATAAATGTATAAATAAACGAACATTTATATAAACAATATTTATTCTCTTTTACAATTTTGTATAAATGACAAAATTAGAGCCACTTAAAGCAAATTTATTAGCCCTCATAGATTTTAAGGGTTTGACTAGGTTAAATAAGTTAATTAGTTTGGCAAGTTATTAGACAAAGTTTTTTTTTTAACAAATATTTAGTTTTATTCCTGCCAAATTATAAGAAATAAGACCTTATCCGGAAGAAAAATACAACAGGAAATACTATAAAAGTGTCCTTGCTTTGTTAAATAAAAATATAATTAATTTAATTCCTGTGGCAATCAAGTCACCATAGTTTACGTTTGCGTGAACTGGAAGCTGCTGAAACTTATTTCAGTACATTGGTGCACTTCCAACTGACACTGAATATTGTATATGGGGTGTAGCTTTCTTTAGTGCAACCTTCCCTCATAGCAGACTAACGGTATGAGGGCCGTGGTTAATAATAATAATAATACCTTTTATTTGCATAGCACATTTCCTACATACATGCAACTCAAAGCGCTTCGCAAACAACAAACAAACAAGCATTGTAAAATAAACCAAATAAACATATGTACGACAAATAAAGCAGAATAAACAGCAAATATATACTCAGATAAAAGCATACATATATATGCATATATGTACCTAATTACACACACATTAGTGCTTACATATGCATATACATGTACACACTGTACATGCATAGTACATACAGTTGAAGTCAGAGTTATTAGCTACCCTTTAAATAATTTTTTTCTTTTTTAATTATTTCCCAAATGATGTTTAACAGACCAAGTAAATTTTTACAATATGTCTGATAATATTTTTTCTTCTGGAGAAAGTCTTATTTGTTTTATTTCAGCTAAAATAAAAGCAGTTTTAAAAAAAAATTTAAGACCATTTTAAGGTCGAAATGATTAGCCCCTTTAAGCTATATATATTTTCGATAGTCTGCAGATCAAACCATTGTTATACAATAACTTGCATAATAACCTGCCTAGTTAACCTAATTAACCTAGTTAAGCCTTTAATAGTCACTTTAAGCTATATAAAAGTGTCTTGAAAATTAGCTTATTAAATATTATGTACTGTCATCATGTAGATCAAAAATCAAATAAATCATTTATTAGAAATGAGTTATTAAAACTATTTTGTTTAGAATGTGTAAGAAAAAAACCTCTCTCCGTTAAACACAAATTGGGGAAAAAATAAATAGGTGGGTTAATAATTTTGACTTCAACTGTACATACACCTACACAACATATATACATAAAATGCAAACACTTCATATACTGATATATTCATATCCAATTTTAAAAAAAGTGTGTCTTAACACGCTTTTTAAAAACATGAATGTTGGGGGATTCTTTCACTTCATTTGGGAGACAATTCCAAATTTTTGGATCATAGTAACTAAAAGAAGGGCCGCCAGATCACATCTGATTTACAGAGTGAAATTCTAAAAGTCTAGCGCTAAAAGAGCATAGCAAACAGTTTGGATTGTATCTCAATAAGCAGTTAGAAATGTAAGAAGGTGTCAGGTTGTGTAGTGCCTTATAAACTAATAAAAGAATCCTAAATTCTATCCTTTGGTGCACTGGTAACCAGTGTAATTCTATTAATGCTGGTCTAATACGTTCTCGTTTCTTCAATTTCATTAAAACTCTGACTTTTGTATCAGTTGCAACTTCTTTCTAGAACTCTTAGATAATATATAAACAGCATTGCGGAAATCAAGCCAAGAGAAAATAAAAGCATGAATTAATTTCTTAGCATCATTAAAGATAGGAAAGAACAAATTCTGGCAATATTTGGCAAATTATAAAAACATGTTATTTATTAATATGAGATTTAAAGTTTAGATCACAATTGAAAATATAACCCATGTTCTTTATAAGATTAAAGAACACAATTCTGCTTCAATCCTCAGGTTTTTTTGCCCACAATAAAAATTTTTGTTGATTTTTCTTCAACTTAAAAAAAAATGCAGCCATTCATTGTACAATACTGGACATACAACTTTTTGCTTACATCAGTGTCTCTGGGCTCAACAGAATTGTATAATTGAATGTCATCAGTATAAAGATGATAATCCAAGTGGTAAAAAGTGGTTAAGAATATTGTTGAAAAAATGACATCAACAGAGAAGGACTGCCTCTTCAAATGTGAAATAGTCAGAGTTTATTTAATGATACCCAACTTGGACAGATTAATTTTAAGTGTTCTTAAAAAGATGAACTATGCAAGCTATCAAAATAAACATTGTCATTTTGATTTCACATAACCTTTAAAAACTTTGCATTTGTGTGTGTGTGTGTTTGTTTGTGTGTGTGTGTGTGTGTGTGTGTGTGTGTGTGTGTGTGTGTGTGTGTGTGTGTGTGTGTGTGTGCAGCTGTTTTTACCTTCTGCAGAAGGTTGATCTCCTGCTGTCTGGAGTTGAGGAAAGCCAGGGCCTGCTCATGCTCTGCCTCCAGTTGCTGCCGTCGATCCGCAGCCTCTCGCATATGCTGAAAAACAAAGAGGAAAAAAGAGAGATCATGTTAAAACCGGGAGTATTTATAGAAACTCCTGCTTTCTTAATAAAACATTGTAAAACAAACCATTAAGCAGTGTTCTGACCTGTTGTTTTCAGGTTCTAAAGAGAAAAATTGGGAAAAGGCATCATGAATAACCACACAGGCGTTTTAACAGACACATTAAGTGCAACAGTGACAGTGAGGGATGATGCTAACCACCATTGATCGACCGGCACAACGAGTAAATACAACATGTCCTGTAAAAATACAGAATCTGAAAACAACACAGCACAAGAACTAATAAATGAAAAAAATCACTAAAAATACAGAATGTTTGTTTAGATGTCTAGCCTCAGGTTTCCTTCTTTACTCTTGGTTGGTATATTACCAAAATGTCAATATTCAGAACCAATAGCAGTGAAAATGCATGGTTCTTGGTACCAATTTCGAAACGAAAGCAAACTTAAAAACACTAACTAAATAACACTTTATTCATTCATTCATTTTTTTCGGCTTAGTCCATTTATTAATCTGGGGTCGCCACAGCAGAATGAACTGCCAACCTATCCAGCATATGTTTTATGCAGCGGATGACCTTCCAGCTGCAACCCATCACTGGGATACACACTCATTCACACACATACACTACAGACAATTTAGCTTATTCAATTCACCTCTACCCCTTGTTTTTAGACTTGTGGGTGAAATCAGAGCACACAGAGGAAACCCACGCAAACACGGGGAGAACATGCCGACAAGCCGAGGCTCAAACCAGCAACCTTCTTGCTGTGAGGCAAATGTGCTACTCACTGCGCAGCCCACACACACTTTATTTTTATTAATAAAGTTAAGCATCATCCAAACAGTTTAAAAGGTTATTTAGTGTTTTTTTTAAATGATTAAAAAAAAAATGCATGACTTGTTTATAAAGACCACAGTGCATAGCCTACACCTGATCTTTTCAACTGCTTTTTCTGGACTAACAGTTTCAATTAACTAGAATTTCTATGTTAAGCTGCTTTGGCACAATCTACATTGTCAAAGTGCTATAGATATAAAGATGAATTGAATTTTCTGTTGATAAACTGGCTGTGATATTCACTAGGATCTTAAAATATTTAATCTTCAACTGCAAGTTTTAAGTTCAACCGCAAATTTAGTCCTAATAATGCAAAAACACAAAACACTCTGTTCCTTTTGGGCATATAAAGGTCAGAGTCACCATTGGAAACCATTTGAGGATTTATTTTTATTTGTAGATGCGCAATAAAAACAGAATAATATGATTTAATGAAATAAAGCAAGCTCAGTCTACAAAATGCACTCTCTGTCTTAAAGCCTACTCTCCTTTTCATGCAGCTCATGGAAGTGTTGGCATGTGATAACAAAATGAATCAGAATGTTCTGCAGTTTATACTGCTAAAGTCACGTTACAGGAGTTGTAAATATAAAACATGTTAAGCTACTAGTAGTCATATAGTTATCCTCCCTTTTCCTCAACAAGTGGATTCAAAGCCACACCATCAGCAGCATGCAGAGGTTGTCATGTATCAGTGCTGATATGAAAAGAGTGTGACTGCTGAGCTTTCACTTTTGCATAGAAACAGGCTGACCGGTTACTTTGTACTTCAGAAAACATGGTAACCTTTTGTTTTATTTATTTATTTTTTTGTACCGACTTGATACCAAAGTACCAGTTGTATTACCAAAGAGTTAAACTGTACAGGAGTAAAACAGAAGCATATCAGATGTGTTGTGAGGCTTAAAAGCTTAAGCTTCCAAGGTCTAAGAAAAATTTATTTTTCTCTCCATTTGCACACTGTCCTTATATGCATCCTCTTCAAGAAAATCAAAGCCTATTTTCTTTGGTGGCTTTGGTGGAAGTGTTTTAAGCACACATTCACACACCTTAAACACTGCTCAATGCTTTGCATGAACTCAGGAAAAGCTTCAGAAAAGGTAAGCTACTGCAAATGTGCAAATAACCATTTAAAAAGGCAAAATCTAAATCATCAAATGCTTCAGGCCCGTACTTAGCCAGGGGGGATTCGGGTGGTCCGGAAGACCCATCCCTCACTGACAAAAGTCCAGAATTTAGCCCATGCATGAGCTTATTTTTCCTATTTTGACTGGTATGCCATCATAAATAGTGATTATATCCCATCGAAAAAGGCTTTAAGATGAAGCGGAATTGGCTGACGCTTCGATGTGACTTCAGCTAATCAGTTTTGGCCAATGCTAACAAATATTTTCATTTTACAATCTGGTGTAAGAGAAGTTATTTTTTTACTACTGCTTTATTTTTAAACAGAGAAAACATTTACAGGTAACTTTTATGTTAATTCTTGGACATTATTCTTTAAACAAAAAATGAGCAATAAAAAGTTGTGCACCAAAAGTGGACCATATTGAAATTTCTATTTATTTTATTTGAATTTACTATTTTGGCACTTGTTGGTATCCATGAATTTTCAAAAGTACTTTTTTACAAAAGAGGCTAGAAAAATTGTAAGCTCTACATTATTATTATTATTATTATTATTATTATGTTAAAAAAATTTCAAATGGCCAAATTCTGACTGAGATTGCTATTTTTTGTAATGATATATGATGTTATAAATATGTGTTTTAAAAATAAGTATTATTTTACATTTCTTGATTATAAATCTTCAGGAAATATTTTTGGTATATCAAAAATGTGGTTATGTTGTTCATTCAACAAGCTTATTTAGCTAAAAAATGTTTAAAATGTCCCTAAAATGTAGTATTTAAATCTTATAATTAAATACAAAATGAGGCGTATAACTGCAAAAAAGGTACACTTTTTGAAAAAAAAAAGAAACACCCCTATTACCAGGCTGGCTGCGGGCATGTGCTTATGTTATACTATGTGCTTCTAAAATTCTGGCAACCAGTGCTGCAGTTTATTACCATAAAAGTTTCCAGACTTTGTTTAAAGTTTATTGATTTTATGTTCCACAAAATAAAAAACAGACAGCTTTTAAATGACATAAGGGTATACAAATGACAAAAATGTGTGGTATACTATCCTTCTTAGTGTTTCAGTTTTAAAATAGATGCCCTGAGGATAGTTCAAATAAAACATTTCAGATGGAAATTCAAAAAGCTCTATTTTTTCTTTAAAAGACAATCTTTTATCTTTAAGCTGCTTTGCTGGAACGATTATGCATTTCTGAGGAGAAATAGAGAGAGAGAGAGATTCAGACAACATCAAAAGTCCTGACATTTTGCAGAAAACCTCTTGTTTTCAGCACAACAGTATTGCTACGCTACTTCTCCTACCTCTTCTCATCTCTCTGTAATCATTTATCCCATAGTCAATAATGAGAAAGGTAAGAGAGATAAATACATATTTCTCTTTTTCAAAGATAAGCAGTCGATTTCTTGTTATACAAGCTATTTTTCCTCTTGAGACACATGACAGAAGCAGTCAATAAACCGACAAGTGCAGGAACACTTTTCACTGAACAATGAGTCAGCAACATGATGCCAGCAGAAACAAGTCAGATAAATGAAACATCATTATCTCAGCTGGTATCAGATTTCCATTAAAAGCAAGATCCCAACATCAGGAAAGATGATCTTAAACAATACCGATTGGTTTACAAGAAGTGATAAAACTGTCATGGAGGAAAAAATTATTCTAATGATACAATAACCGTTAAGTTTACCAAATATTTCCTTTCTCACTAATAGGCCATGTTTCTCTTCTTCATTGAACCACTATTTAACCAACATCCAGCTATAACCTTACCTTCAGGACCTGCTCAAGATTCTCCAGTTTGTCTTGGAGCTGAGCCTTCTCCTGCCTGGCCAAGTCTCTCTCTTGACTCACACAACCAAAAGCCTTTTTGAGCTGCTCATAGTCTGACTTCACCTACAGAGAGAAAGAGACGAGATGAGGATACATGAACTGTCTAAAGTCACAGAAGTCCAGTCAAAATTACATAACTGTCCCTTAAACAATGAAAAGCAGGGTTAATCATGAAACCTTGGCCAGACTTCAGCTGTTGGACATTTAATTATGACCACAACAAAGGGAAGCAAAACAGCTGACTCTGCATCAGTTCTTGGATGTGTTTTACAATGGGCCGAGGGAGCATATTGTACAATGACTGCGACTCTAAGCAGTATTTTTCGAAACAGAATTAATCTTTTTGATAGATGAATTCAGGGGCTATTTTTCACTCTGATAAAAGGCGCAGTGATTCTTTATAAGGCGTGAAACAAACCTCTGCCGCACTGTGGGCTGTATAACAAAAGTTCAGGTGATTTGTATCTAAGGTAACAGCTCTAAAAATAAAGATTCAGTGTTCAGAAATATGTTTGACTTGCTTTGAGTCATGATGCTGCCAGAGCTCAGAAAAACACGACCAATCACCTAATGCTTGCAAAAGAGGGTCAGCTAAGGACACAGTCGCTCAAGAACCCCATCCACCAACCAGAAGTCACCACTCAATATATCACACACTTGCGGTGGTGTTATTCTGGCACACGCCCATACTCTCTCATTTATTAGGGCACAATTCATCCTGAAAAATGGGGAGATTAATTCGCATCTTGTATTGATCTACAATCGGTATATGAGATTGCGCCTGGTGCTGAAGCGTGTGACAAACCAACCCGTTCCACTTGGGGTTATTTACCTACTCTCCTCTGCCTTGTTAGCCCCACTGAATGCTGGGAAATAAGCCTTTGATCATTGAGGGAATGGGAATGAAAGCGGACAGCACTACCTGATTAAACAGAAGACATTTTATCTCAGACGCTTGTCTGGGGTTGTGACAGATGGCCCCTTTTTGCTGTTAGAGGAGAGAAGCAGCCTGTGGATTATTCAGAAAGAGACTGCCAACCCATGGCCTGCCATGGCTTGGCAAAACGCACCAGTGAAAACGACACTATTAACACAATGAGTGTCACGTATTGCCACTCTCAGCAGTCCAGTGTTAGTATGATATCCACTCCACAGCAGATTCACTACTCACATTGATGTCCCTATAAAGGGTGTCACTGGATTTCCTTCACACTTTCTCTTTCTGATAATCTCTAATGAGCATGTAGGCACGCTTACCTCATCACAAATGCCGAATTCAAACTGTAATAAATGCACACAGGCAAAATCCCATCCAGTTTCATTGGTCAAAACAAACAAGGTGGATATAATGACCAGACAAGGACACGATAAGATCAATACTGCCGATGAGATGCAGAAAGGAACCCTTCGGGCGCATGTTTCTCGAAAAGCTGTGTAATGAGCAGCCATTGATCTTATGAGCTCAGCTGGCCTGTGATGCTGAGCATCTCTTACCTTCTCGTATTCTGTGGCCTTCAAGATGTGACTAAGCAGCTCACGATTGAGCCGTTTTCTCTCCAGCAAAGCATCCTGAAGCTCATTCTTCTGTCAAGGGGAAAAAGGAAAAATGAAGTTAGCTTATTCTGTACATGGTATTGCAGAACATATGTCTTATATGTAGAGGTTCTTTATGTTCTGGGGTTCTTTATTTATTTATTTTGACATGGACATCACAAAATACACTGGACAATCAAATGCCTTTGTTTAAGTGTTTTAGTCTTGTCTTTAGTCTTTCTTGTCTTGTCTTAGTCCTTAGTCTTGTTTTAGTGTTTTTGTCTTGCTAATTCCACAGGAGGCTTGACGTAAAATGAAAATAAAATAGATACAGTTGAAGTGAGAATAATTAGCCCCCCTGAATTATTAGACCCCCTGTTTATTTTTTTTTCCCAATTTCTGTTTAATGGAGAGAATATTTTTAACACATTTCTAAACATAATAGTTTTAATAACTAATTTCTATTCCTTAATGACACAGACACAACGGGGTATACTTTTTTCTGTCACTAAGACTTAATGGGCTAAACTAAAATTAATCAATTAATCAAATCAAATTGAATTCTGGCAGTACCAATGATAAGTGCTATTTTCCTTAAAAGAAAAAACGATCAAAATATGGAACTAAAGACTGGGTGCTCGTTATGTCAACCATGACTGTCTGTTTAGAAAGAGCCACCTAAATCTCAAAGATCACATCACAGTATGAAAAGTTAATCAATACTTCATGGAGAATGGCACTCTGCAGCAATTACCACAGAGCAGGATTCAATGTGTTGATAGATTACCTTTATAAATGGATTGAGTTCATTTATGTCTTTTCCAGAAGCATTATTTCTTTGGGCAGCAAAAGCATCACTAAATGTAACACAATTTCAAACAGGCTTCCTAAACACTAAATCTCTCAGCAATAGGTTGTAGTTGTTTACATGATCACTACACAGTGCTGTTTGGTAAATGAAGGAGCGCCATCATTCTCACAACACTGACATAGAAAACAACTCAATCTTTGAGCAACAGCAAGAAGCTTTGCTGAAGGCTTTAGGGGCTGTTCACATATTGCATCTTTTGCAGGCGCTAGTGAGTTATTTAAAATTAAGAAATACACATATTGGGAGCGATCATATTCCAGCACACCTACAGTGGTTGAAAACCTCTCAACTTTTCAGAATGCTACAAGCGCACCGCAAGTCACTTGACAGAATCTCACAGAACACCCAAACACTGAAGTGCTTTTTAATTTTCTCCAAAAAATAAATCTTGTATCAAAGCTGAAATGTGGGAAACTACTATTATTTTTTTGTTTCTATAATATAATGTACTGTATGTATATATTTTTGTTAATAAGTCATATAAGATATACATTTGTATTTGTAAATGTCTTTAGGTTATTGCTATTCACAACTTTATTTTATCACGGTAGTGATTTGTTGTGTATGACTGAAACCAGTCTGAGTGGATAAAAAGCTGCAATGTTTATTTTGTTGACAGCGCTTATTGATAAACGCAAAACTTTCTGAGACATAAATGAATCTGTGATTTACTACCTTACACCCATCTGTTATTGAGAGGATAACTTTGTGATGATGAGCATTTCGTCACCTTGGAATTCTAAGGTTCTATCTGGTTCTGAAAGATTTTAAGATATTGAGCTTCAAAGTTTTTGCATTCCATAGCAAACAGTATATGTGTAACATTTGTTTGTTTGTTTTTCATAAAAAATGGTAAACAACTTATAAAAAAACATCCCATAATGTAAATAAGTTGTCATTTAATAAGAAAATGTAAATAACTAATTTATGTAATTTTGACAAAAAATATCAGATAGAACCTTATAATTCTAAGGTGAAGATTTATCAATTTGACCTACAGTGCTCAGCATAGTTGAGTACACCCCATTTTGAAAATGAATATTTGTATTCATCTCGAAGTGAATATAGGCAATGTATTTTGGTGCATTAAAACAAAACAGATTTAATAAACAGAAAATTTTTTTAAAATAATATTTTAGTCATCAAACATATTTAGAAATTGAAACATAATACAATTAAATTCAAACAAAATATTGCAAAAAAAATTACAAGCTTCTAAATGTCATCTTAATTTTAATTTTTTATTTTTTGCTTCTCTTGATTTTTCCTCTTTTTAAATTTGCATTTAATATTTTTCTCTAACATATAAATTTGGCTGTTCTACTTTTTGGATCTTTATCATAAGTTATTTTGTTAGATAAGCTCCAGATTTGGCTTCAGTACTGACTAATCTGTATATGCACAAAGATAATGTTGATTAGCTTCCTATAAACAATATGAATTTAAAAGATAGATTTGTGAGGGGTGTACTCATATATGCTGAGCATTGTAAATTCTGGATTATTACAATACTCACTGCATAATGATGATGTCAACAAACATGATGCATGTGTGCTAATATTCTCGTTTTTTTCTAATGGCAGTAAAAACCTTCAAATTTTCGGTTGTTTTGGACATAACAATACAAGAAAGACACAGTTTTTCTCTACATCGCTTTGGATACTAACAAATACAGCAAAACCTTGCTTTTATAAAACAAAAATAAGTACACTCTGTCATCTCAGTCTGTGTGATCGTTATATAGAAATGCATCACCAAAATAATGAATGAATAGCAGAACAAATTCAACATACATGTCCTACTGATATCCTTTTTGTTTAGCTGACACATCATTAAGGATATTGATCATTTGTGAATGAATGATGCACACTGCAGTTACTTGATAGGCTGGTATTCTAATATTTCCTCTCCCATAAACATGGCGAGCACAAAACAAAATGTGATTGTTCATTCATTCATTTTCCTTCGGCTTAGTATCTATTTCAGAGGTTACGACAGCGGAATGAACCGCCAACTATTTCAGCACATGTTTTATGCAGTGGATGCCCTTTCAACTGCAACCCAGTGCTGGGAAACACCCATACACACTCATTCACACACAAACTCATACACTACCAGAAATGTATTTTATTCAATTCACCTATACCATAAGCATGTCTTTGGACTGTGGGGGAAACCAGAGCACCTGGAGGAAACCCACACAAACACTGGGATAACATGCAAACTCCACACAGAAATGCCAACTGGTCCAGCCAGAACTGGAACCAGGGACCTTCTTGACAAAAAAAAATCATCTAGCAGAAAATATATCTACTAGAACAAGCTTAGAAAGTCATTTCAACGTCCCTAATTTGAGCATTTAACTCAGCCGTCCATCTCGTGAAGTTCTCCAAGTGCCACACCCCTGGCAGAACTCTGCGAGCATCTCTGACTCAGCATGCTGTCTCTTCCTGACTAGCTCACATGTCACAGTATATCAGGTGGCAGGTTCGCTCAACGACGACTACAGAAGCATTTGAACTTTCTTGTCAGAAGCCCTGTCTGTCAACCACAGTGTCACCCCGGACATGACAGCTACTGCACACAAGCGCAGCGCACACTCCACCGCCTTCGAACGGTGACCACCGCAAAACTCCCATGAGATCACGTGTTGCATTTTCCTCATATACATTTGGGAACATTTCAGCCATCATGTTCTATTAGTTCATATAAAAGGACAGACTTTAACCTCAGCTCAAGGGACCTTTAAGAGGTCGCTCAACTGGCTGCACATTGAAATCGGGAGTAAAAAATGTGCAGTTATGTTCGCTGTGCAGTCGCGGCTGATTAAACACAGCTTTAATGTGGCGAAGATTAGACTACCATGGGATTATCAACTGAAACTCACACAGGGATGTGAGTTAAAGCTGCAGCACGTATCATACCCAAGAATCCGGCTTCTGATTTCCATACGGATGGATCAAGAAGCAGAACGGAGAAAGGAGGAGACGGTCTTGGGAAGAGAGAGAGAGAGAGAGAAAAAGCGAAAGCGTGCCACAAGAATGGACTAATTCGAGCAGACACGGCTGCCCGATCCCCACCCTCCAGTTTGGCCCCTGGTTCTGCAGCTGCTCAGAAAAGCTTTGCTCATCCTTCCACAACATTTACTGAGATGAGGCTCTTTACATGGCCAACCACTGCAGCATTGTGGATGTATATGGGGTGTGTGGGTGTTGTTACACAATCACAGACGTATACCAGAAGAAATAGACTCAGTAAATCCGTAGGTCATGCGGAACTGACGAGAGAATTTCAACACATTTTAGTTATGTTAAAGCAAATGAACAAGTGCATTGTTTATTAAATGTACATTACTGCATGTGGGTCAAAGACAAAAAGCATTCTTAAAACATTCATAAACATTCTTTTACAGACAGTTTATCCTGTAGAATGTTTGTAAATCCTTCATTTACTTTTAGTATTTGAAAAAAAGTTGTGTCCCACTGCATATTAAGTGTCGCTTATATCTGTAAACTTAGTACGGTAACATTAACTAGATGTGTAAGTAGTATGTAACTACAGTGCATGTACACACTGGTACAAAGTATTTAATTGAGTAATACTGGTGTAACTAGACACATGTAACAACCCACTAAATAGTATGTGCAAGTTCAAATGTGTAACAGGAAATTATTAACACAATCTTTGGTAAACTACCCCTTTAATGTGAATTACTGATGTGATTCTACAATTTACCTTAAAACAACATATAAAAATAAGGCATTTGTATATTTCTATATACACATACTTTTTTGGTAGAAATTTGCTGTTGCTTGCACAAAGTTGCACAAAGGCTTGGGTTTTATATATTACACAGTAATTTGTGACGATTTTACACTTTATATTGAGTGGACAGTTCATGATGATTTACCCTGAAATTACACTAGTATCAAAAGGTGAAACCTTCTAATGCAGCGTTAGTTCTGCCATTCTTATTCTAATACAGTGTTCAGAAGTGCATGTTATGCAAAGAGGTGTGGAAGCGGGAAAACACATGCAAGAATATTGTTGTTGCACTATGCACTTATGTAATTCTTGTTACAGATGTGTACTTTTTTATTGTTGTTATCAATGTCCTTTTACACATTTGAACTTAAACATACTATTCAGTGTGTTGTTTCATGTGTCTAGTTACACCAGTATTACACAAGTAAATACTATGTACTAGTATGTACATACACTGTAGTTACATACTACTTAGACATCTAGATACCATGTAAGTTCATAGGTATAAGCGACACCTAATATAAAGTGGGACCAAAAATTGTAACTTATTTTATATTAATGCCTCAAAAAAAGTAATCGTCCAAAAATATATATTTAATAAAAATATACGGCTACACTTTACAGTATATTAACTACACACTATAATCATCATTTAAGCATTAGCAAATTGTTTGTTTGTTTGTATACTTTATTGTCCCTCAAGGGGAAATTTTTTGTGGACTCTCACAGCACTTCAGCAGGTTCTGACCCAATAACAATTAAAAATAAGCCAACATGCAAAAGAATCACATACACTATCGATCAGTGTTCAACAGTCTGATTGACGCTAGAATAAAAGAGCTTAAGTCTGTTCCGCTTCCAGCGGAAATGTCTATATCTTCTACCAGAAGGTAAAAGATCGTAAAATGGAAGAAGTACATGAGATGGGTTACTTAAAATTCTTTTCGCTTCATTTAGAGTGCATTGCTCATAGAGTGTTTGTAAACTAGTAGTTTCAGATGCTATTAGTTTTGTAGCAGTTCTGATAATATTAAAAAGTTTTGATTTCAGATTTACAGAAAGATTGCCATACCATGTAGATAGACCATACCTGATAACACTTTCAAATACAGCTTGATAAAATAAGTACATGATTTTCTTAACAACACCATAAAACCATAACCTTCGTAGAAAAATACAGTCTTTGGTGAAGCTTTTCACAGATCCAGTTAGTTAATTCATTATCTGTTAAGCATTAACTTTATATTTATAGATGTTAGTAAGCAGTTTAATACTGCAGATACAAATGCTCTATTCTTGAATTATACGCACATTTAAAATGTGCTTAATGATTTTTCTTTTATACTTTGTTACTGACATTTTTCATGACTAAATTAAAGTATTGCATTATTTACAAATCATTTGCATTTAAGAGTAGTTCGGGGTCTTTATTATGATCATTCAGAATGAGTTAGTAAATGGTTAAAATGTATGTTAATAAATACTTTATTAACTCAACTTCATCCTGTTTTGTGACCTAATCTAAAATGAGGACTATTTATGGTTTATAAATCTCTAATAACTGACTCAATATCAAATGAACAATACATTTTTATAATTTTATCTAAAAAGTTAAATTACTGTAAAGTTTAAATATTGCATAAAATTGGATAAAACAACAATATAATGATTTAACAATATAGTACAATACATTATTTCAATATTATTTAGAGGTTTAAACTACAGAGTGTAAAAAAATGTTGGGCTCCACACATTACCTTCATGTTGTCGCAACACAAATTGATTAAGTTAACTGAATTGTTTTTGCAAATTTCCGTTGATTAAACATAAAACAATTAAGTTGTTACAAAACAAATCTCAAGAATGGCGTTGATTTAGCTCATTTTAAATAAGTAGTTTGAACAAGCAGGAAAAATAGTTTTAAAGTGTAATTTTGTTTTAGTTTAGGTTGCAAAGATTTATTTCTCATTTGATACAGTTCCATTTGATACAGTTTTTTTTTTGTTGTTGTTGTTGTTTAGAATATCACCAAGCCTTTAATTGTCATTTATTAAGGATTTATAAAGCATAAATAGTCCTCATGTTAGATTATTGTGCATTGTTATGTTAGATGTGCAATCTTAAGTGACATCTCCAGTCTGTACCTGTTATAAACAGAAACCTTAGCCTCTGATCCTGCTGTGAAAGCTCAGGGTTTCTGTCATGCTGAGAGCAGGTGGTGGCAATGACAGCTACAGGAGGTCAGAGAGAAAGCGCGTCCTCCCTTAGCCTGTACTTGCACTAATGTATATACCGCAATAAACAAATACAGCAGTTTAGATGTTTGCCGCGCAATGATGGAAAAATGCTCATTACACAGATTTGATCTAATTAGACAGCTGTTTGTTATTCAGAGTAACTATCTCTGTGACCTCTCGACATGTCATCTACAAGTCACAAAACAGGCATCTCATGAAGCACACTAATTAACGCCCCCCAGCTCATAAAAATTATTACAGTAAATCAACTGTTGGGCTAGCGCTGCTACTTTAATTGCAACACAAGGGTTTTGAGCGACATTATCAAATCAACATAGTTGACATAAAAAGATAAAGATGTTTCTCAGTGAATCTTAAAAGCACATTGGAGCATTTGCCACCAAGGAGCATGTGTTTTAGGATCAGACGTGCTATTCCTGTGCTTTCCCATAAAATACCCACAGGATCTCTTCTAATGAGGCGGTGTGTAGTCGATTTATTCATACCAACCAGATGCTGGATGTCTTATGTGCCCTTTACACTTGTCAAACCAGACATTTAAAAACCTCTGGCTTTCTCATAGAAGATAAGATGTTGTGGAGCTCATCCAGAAGAAATCATATTAATTAATTAAATTCAAGATTGACTGTAAAATGACTAAACAGTACTACAAAACTTCAGACCTACACTTCAAATCTGAATATTGGAGGCTGATTAATCATCCAATGAAATTCTTAATTTCTGTAATATTTTTATATAAAATTAGTAAATGAAATGAAACATTATATATTGTTTAGCAGTAAACCATTTTCAAAACATTGAGTCAATTCAGCACAAACCCAACCCTTGTATTAAAAAGAGTCTTTTAAATTAAATAAAAAAATAACCCAACAATGGATGGGGTTTTCCATATTTTACCCAACTATGAGTGTCACAGTCACCAGTGATCTAGCCCATGTAGGTTGTTGGAGAACTACAAATCTGCCAGCAAACGAACTACAAGTTCCAGTCATGCACCGTTTATACGCACCTGTTCCTCATTCAATAGATTACACACACTCACGGCTGTGACCTGCTCATAAACTGATTACATGAATTATATACATAGCACACACGCACACCTCTTTGCTGAGTCTTGTTTAACTGTGTGTGACATTACGACGCATTTCCCTTTGCCTTGTTTTGCTTGACCCTTGCTTTGTTTTGTTTGTTTATTTACTTTGTATGCTAACTGCCTTTTAATCATCTGCCTGTTTATCGACCACAACTCTGGATTGCCTGTATACATCTGTTTTTTTCCTAATTGACCATTGCTTACCTGACCATTCTTGAAATAAAACCTGAATTTGGATCTGCACTTCATTGTCAGCGTCCCCATCACATTACATTAAGTTACAACAACCAAATATTTTTTAGGTTGTATTACTTAAAAAAAAGGAAAAGGAAAAAAACGTCAAAGTCAAAGGTGCTAAAAAAAACACTAGTTGAATATTTAGTAGTAGGCTTTTTTATTTTTAAGTAAATTAATCAAATAATCAAAACATGAAAACAAAATGACAGGCAAAGCCCAATATGTTTTTGAAGAACAGTATTGGTTGTGATTTGTCAAGAGCATTAAAAGCTTTGGCAAAGATATGTCTCCCTAGAAAGAATTTACAAGAAATCCAGCTAAAACAAGGAGAATAAAAAAAGACCCATGTAGTGTCTGACATTATCAACCATGACATTATGTTAGTAGCTTGTACTCACCAAAGTCTTACATGCTAACGTCTTGTTCTTCACTTCTCTCTCAAGGACCTGACACCTTTTCCTCCGCTCGTTGACCTCAGACTCCTAGAAAGATAAAGAAAAAGAATGAAGAGACATAACCAATAATAACTGATTTACCTGAAGGGATTCAAGTAGATATTTTGAGACAGAATATTTAAAAGATGAATTCACCCAAAAAGATTGCAATTAAACAGACACTATAAAAGTCTTTAATTAAGAAAGATGCCGCATTTAGTCTACATACACATACAATATACGTTTTTACACACACAGTCCAGTTGTCATGTTTGATTTAGTTTTTTGGATTTGGATTTGCACTTCTAACATAGTTTCTTGTTCCCTTTGTTTCCATTTTTTCTTGTTTCTATGGTTACTTATTGCTTGATTGATTGTGAGCACCTGTGTCTTATTTAGTTACTCATTTACTCCAGTTTTTAATGTCCTGTGCTCCAGGTCAGTTTGTCGGTTCATGTTAAGATTGGCTGAATCGATTTTGCTGTTTCTCCTTTATTCTCAGTGTGCAATAATGTTTTGTTTTGTTTAAGCCTTATTGAATAAAGACTTGCTGCTGTAACAGATCCTGCCTCAATTCTGGCTTGCTCTTGCAACCAGTGCTGACACCAGTTATATCAATAGGAATTTACACTAGAAAGTTTTGCATCAAGTCTAGAAGGTTCACCTTGCAGATTTAATTTGGTCGATCATACAAATTTGTATGAAACAACAACACAAAACATGCACAAGTTGCATGAGTTATGTATACATCTTAAAAATATTAACAATGGTCCTTTGTGCACCTCACTAAATATGTATAAAAATGTCACTTACCTGAAAGCACCTTAAATTTAAGACAAACATGCTTGAAAAACCCATTTGAAGACTATTTTTACATACGTGGTGCAGAAATAACACAGATCTGATATAACCACTATTATTACCTTAGCTAATGCTGTGTTTCAGAAAGCTCAGAATTTGGATTTTTCCCAACTGCAAATAATAGTATCTGAACACCACTGTGTCTGTGTGATTTTATTTCAGTATGTTGATGTATTTCAAACTCAAATGGAATATTCAGTAGGTGGCTGGGGTTTCTTTAGCTCATCAAAGCAAACTAATGGTAATAGAGGCATCGATAAAGATATTAATATACAGTTGCTTGACCAAACCAAATTGGCACCATAGATAAACTCGTAATCAGCAGTTTTTCTCCCATAGAAATCCTTAATTTGTCATTAGCCATAAATAAGCAGGGAAGTTCTCGAAACCTAACTGAGTTCAAACTTCCCTCTCCCCTTGCAAATGGCAGAAAGCCTCAGGCTCAAGGATATATGAGCTCAGAGCTGTCTTCCGGGATAGCACGCCAAACACACTTTACAATCAATCATCAGCTAAGTGTGAACCCTTGAAACACTGTAAATTTTGATTTCAAGCAGAAAAAAAAGTTAAAGTTAGTTACTCTTTAGGTTAACATTTAATCGTTAAGTAAACAATTAATTGCATGTTAATCTACTGAAAAAAAACTGTTTTGGTAATCTTCAATCTAATTCTGACCATTTGGCTTCGCATTTGGAGTGGCGGTCCTTCTCTGTTGATGTCAGTTTAATAGCTTTAGCCACAATATTCGTAACCACACCCGACTTAAAGTTACAAGGGAATGATGCTAAAAAAAATACCCCCACCCCATATTAAATATTTTGTTTCATTAAGAAGTACATCAACATTCTGAAATATATAGTCTCAATAACTTCAGATTCACATAGACTTTAAGTAAGACTTTCAGCTTGTAAACTCAGGGTGGATCAGTTGTGCCTGACATCATCATTAAAACATATCATTTAATGGCTTTTATAATTGGACATACAGTTACCTATGAAGTTACCTGACGTAAGTGTTAAAACTAACTTTAATATTAGAATTTACATATAATTAAATTCCTTCCTTTTCTCAAGCTGTTTATGAAACACCAAAAAGTGTCATTTTCTATTATTTTTATTTAGCTTTTTGCCATAACCAACACATAAACATAAAGTGCTTGGTTTTGTGATGATGACACAGTGTTTGGCCAATGAGATTTGCAAAACTCACTGACCTCTGAAGTGGGTTAATTAAATTACGCCCAACATGATCTCGAACATGGAGTATAGTCTATCTCCATTATGTGCTTTTTAATCGCCATTTCAAATTCTGAAACAAAGGCAGTATGAGATGAGCTCTCCCAATCCTCTGCAGATAGATACTAGTGGTATTAGACAGCATCTTGGGCCAATCCCAGCAAAGCCATTGAACAGCAGTATTACTTTGTGAACAGTGTCAGAAAGGGCAATTAGCATAAAGAATGTACATTGGTGAGCCAGAAAGAAATGTCTGAATGTGCGTGAGAGTGTTTGACGCCCAACAGAGGGATCTTTTAAAGCAGCAATGTGAAGCATTAGGTCTCTTGAGACAGGGGCAGAGAAGGAACAGCTGGGAGCTCAAACCTAGTGGTGTGGAAGTAACAACCATTTCATCTGTGTCAACATGTTACACAGCTGAGCTTTGCTAAACCGAGGGCTTTTTCACCCAATCCAACCTCATTATACCAGGACAACACCTCCCATTAAATGAGATCAACAAAAAAAATGCTGATAGTTTATCTGTGCTATTATCACTGCACTGTAAATCCTGGTTTTGCTCATCTGGCAAAAAAATGACAGCATCACCTCTGTTAAGTCAGAGAGAGCAGTCAAGCTGTATGCATTGCGTGCATGTGTGTTTTACAGTGGGGGAGGGGACTCTGAGGTTGCTATAGAAACCTCCTCATCCAGGTAGTATGTTAAGCGTAAAAATGAGCAGCCTGTTTGGGACTCATTCACTTTTCATTGTTTAAGCTAAACTCAAAGGGCATGCCAAACTCACTACACATTTCCGAGACTGGAAATACAAAACAGTTCTCGGGAACTGTACACCCTGAAAGGAATCACCATGACGTGATACATCTCCCAGGAAGGAAGCGCATCTCACTGAGAAGGAAATCTCGGGTTTCATCCATGTGATGTGCTTTCTTTACATTATGATTACTGTACATTAAACCTGAAGTGTTCGCTTATTTAAAGAGCACAAACTTAATACTACAAACAGAATCCTTAAAAAAATACTGCTTACATGTGCATGATTGAATGCCATTATTATGTATGGGTAGGATCTCATAAAACTGTATATCAGGAAGTCAAACTGACAAGGCTTTAAAATAAACACCAATGTTTTGTTTGTTATGGCTGTCCAGTGCACAATTAGTACAGGTATGAGGGCATGGAGCAACAGCTCATTTGCATTTAAAAGGCTCTATTTTAATGATCCAGGCTCAAAGTCTAAAGTACATGGTGCAAAAGCATTAAGGGCGTATCCGAATTCACTTTTGCTATTTCAAGAAGGGAAAAATACGATTTGAACCCTGGCGCATGGTCAAACAGGGTTATGTTTATTCTCTTAATGAGTGTGGTTTATGGGTGTGGTTTGAGCTTAACCTACTTTAAACCAATTAGAGTCTCATCTCACATTCCCTTTAACAGTCAGTTGCGTCATGCCATGGCGCAATTTGCTATTTACATGGCATACTTTGTAAGTGAAAAAACTGAACGCTCCACTAGCAAGAAAACCGTTAAACAGACCATGTACAGCAGGAGGATAAAGAATGAGCCTCCTCGATTCAGCCTCTTTTCAATCTCTTTATTTCACTTTTACTCTTTACTTCACTTATTTACTTTCATGGATAAGAAAACGATGTTGTACGCACTCCAGTGCCTGACATTCATTAACCTACATATTTAATTTTGTTTGTTATGCGCAAAGACTTGTTTCAAAACTTGAGTTATATCCAAACACACATCCTAATTTAAGCCCTTTACAGTGAAACATACAATTCCAAAACAGGTAGACAAATTTAAACTTGTTTTTTATTAAAACAAATATAAATATGCATATAATAAATAATACTAATAATAGTAACATTATACAAAAGCAAATTGTTATGAATGAACTCAAAAAAGGCATGGAGGCTGTCGTTTTTATATTTATGTATAAAATAATAATTTTGTAACATTTTAATTCTTTATTTTTTTTTCAAATGTAGAGATATTTGTGTATTAATGTACATCCTGTGTGTATTAAGCAATGTGTATGTGTCTGAAGACACATAGATGCATAATTAACACACTCTGTGCTGGACTTTAGACGAGCTTTTAGTTGATCAATGGCGCAGTCTACTTCATTTCTTCAAAATAGCAACACGACAACAACGCGCCTTAACAAATCTCTATTTTAGACTGGCAAGCCCATGAGTCCACAAAGTGGTGCTAATGGATTTTCTCTTTGAACAAGGTGGTGCAAAACATTAAAATTGGCATTGTGCTGGTCTGAAAATAGCTACAAATCACGCCATACACATCTTGCACCTAATTGCACTAAGTGCTATGTTAGGGTCCAAAGAGACAAAATAACAGCATATTTTGATTTTCACCCAAAAAAGGTCATAGACAACATGGTATAATAAAAGTTCATTGAAGTATTTCTGGCTAAAACTTCACAGAGGCATTCTGGAGCACATGAAACTTGTAAAATTAGTTGTATCCATTAAAGAACATGTGTGTATGCAGGGTGGAATGATGTAAAATTAAATTCATATTTTTCACTCCAGGTTTTATAAAATTAAAATACAATTTTACCATTATAGTAAACAAAAAAAAAGGTAAATATTTCCATTATTATTCACAAGCAGTTTATTTTATTCAAGTACTCGAATAGTTCTCCACCTCACCAATGCAAAATAGAGGCATTGGCGTATTGGAGGGTCTCCGTGCTTGTGAAAAGAGGTTTCTTGGGAGATGCAGTACTATTCATAGCTCTCTCCTACACATTTCCAGTGTTAATCTCTAAAGTGCCGGACTACAGGGATACTGCTTGGGAATTCAAAATAGACATGTGTGGTGTGCCTGGCACACATCAAACATGAAAGGACACTGGTTACTATTCATCGCATTTGAGAAGAGAGGGAGGAAAGAGGTGTGACATGAGTATAAAGTACAGAG